GGGGGGGTGGGATCGCAGGTGCAACGCATCCAGTGACGCGAGACTGGAGACGGCATGGATGCAGAGCGCTGCCAGAAGCTTACCCACACTGCCGCTGTGATGCACTCTCGTGCTATTGCCTCTCTTCAGAAAACGTCAAAGACATTGCAGCGCCCGTCACCGCCAAGCAGTTCAGCTTTGGACAGTCCAACCCGACGTACATCTTGACCGACAGCAACGCTTCCAAATACGTTTTGCGCAAAAAGCCGCCCGGCACACTGCTATCTCCCACTGCTCATGCGGTGGAGCGAGAGTACAGGGTGCTGAAGGCGCTCGGAGAGCACAACGAGAGGCTTCCGGGAGACAAGGGCACCGGTCCGCACGACGATCAGAGATTGAAGCACAGGGATGCTGTGCCTGTGCCCAAAGTGTACACGCTCTGCGAAGATGCTTCAATCCTCGGCACTCCTTGGTACGTTATGCAATTCGTCGAGGGAAGAATCTTCGAGGACCCAAGAATGGTCACCATCCCGAAACAAGAGCGCATACAGTGGTGAGTGGGCTACGGCCGCTTGGACGGAGCTGTCCAGCTAGCCGCATGCAATGCTGAATCACGCGCCCGCATGTTCTGCCAGCTACGAGTCCGCTTTGAAGACGTTGGCGGCGCTTCACCGCATCAAACCAGCAGACGTGGGCTTGGAGTCGTACGGCAAGACCCAAGACTTTTACATGAGGCAGCTGAAAGGCCTAGGTAAAGTGTCTTACATGCAGTCCAAAGCGAAGGATAAGGACACCGGCAAAGAGGTCGGCGAAATCCCTTCCTTCAAGGACATTACCACTTGGTTTGCCAAGAACATGGTCGCGGACGAGAACGGGGTGCGTCGAGAGCATGCGAGGCGAGCTCGCAGCTGCTTACCAGTCGCTCTGTACTTGACCTCGCTCAGATCACTCACGGAGACTACAAGATCGACAATCTTGTGAGCTGAATTGCACATTCCCCAATCTTCTCGCTTGTCCTCGGCCGCAGCACAAAAAGCTGACCAACACTTTTTTCATAGATTTTTCATCCGACCGAACCTCGCGTGATTGGTGTGCTGGACTGGGAGCTTTCCACGCTCGGACATCCTCTTTCCGATCTAGGCAACATTTTGCAGCCCTTCTCTTTGGATTGCCCCGACCCTTCCATCGCCTCGGCCCCACTCGACCAATTACAAAAGTCAGGAAGTGGCAAGGGCGAAGACATGTTCCTGTCCCTTGGAGGCCTGGACAAGTCTACTTGTCCGGTACCCACAAAGGAACAGAACCTCAAAACCTATTGCCAAGCTGTCGAAAGGCCATTTCCTATTCCCAATTGGGCATTCTGCGAAGCATGGGCTTGGTTCCGCGTAAGTCGCGTGTTCGAGCGAGTGCAACGAATGCAATAGCGCCGGACAATCGTGTTGACCACCACCTTCCTTCTCCTTCACAGCTTGCCGTGATCGCACAAGGCATCGCTGCTCGTGTAGCTCAAAAACAGGTGCGTGTGCAATCCCTGCAAGCAATGTCGATCCCATGTCGACGATTACGATGTGGAACCTGAGCATCCGATTTCACTTTCCCACGAAAAAACCTGCAGGCCAGCTCGGCAGAAGCTGTTCGCTACGCTAGCAAATTTCCTGCCTGTGCGGAGAACGTCAAACTAATCATTAGACGATCCGAGGAGGGCAAAGCCAAGCTGTAAAGCGTCCAACCCCTTTCCCTCTTGTTCTTTGCTGCAATTTGTGGTTCTGACGATTACTTGATTGAGGCTGGAATGTCATGAGGAATTGCAAAGGCTCAAGGGGGAAGCTAATTGATGCTGTACATGGTCGAATGGGGAACTTTGCACGAAAAGGCAAATTCGCCAAGAATCAAAATGGTCAGAGGTGGCGAGGCAGCCTTGGGAGGAAGCAAAAAAGGGGGAGTGCCCCTCAGCGTCGATGTATTCTAATCCTAGAAGCGCGTCCTCTTCCACCTCCCAATTCCTCCAGCGTCAAATCACCCTCCTGCTTTTCCTTTGCCTCCTTTTTCAATCTCATCAGCGCACTATTGGCCGCCGGAGAAGCCGGGTCAAGTTGGCCGAGGGAGTAGGATCGAGGAAGAGCTGCTGCTGCTGCTGCGGCAAGAGGAGGGACAGGTTCTTCGCACCAAACATTCGCTTCTCCACGTCCTCGTCGTGCTAGCTCCTGCCCTTCTTCGGCGACTGAGGGCACGTCTACAGATCTTTCTTCGGCTAAAGGGATGGCGGGTAGAGAGGCCAATAGAGATCGACGCGCTCGCATCGACTCGCAACGAGCTGGCAAGAGCGAGGTTCGACCTGCAGCGCGCTGGACCTGAACCGCGGGCTTGCTCTGTACAAAAGGCGTGGAGGTCGTTGGTCCCTTGACCGATCTTCTACGCTTTGAATCTCGCCGTTCGCGTTCAGATCGGTGAAGTCGGGTCAAAGTCGCAGGCTCCTCATCCTCTTCGTGTTGGTGATCCTCTTCCTCCTGTGGCTCTTCGGCTTCTCGATGCGAGCTCATCTGCCTCTGAGCAGCTTCCAAAGCTTCCAAAGGCAAAGGAGCCGTCTTGTTCAACCTAATCTTTTCCAGACTCTTTCTAGCCGAAGAGGAGCGATGATGTGCGTACCTCTTTACGCGAGTCAACGTGGTCCTCTGTCTCTGAGCAAGGGGCACCTCGATCGCTTCAAAGCAGTGCAATTTCCTCTTGGTTTCTTGCACCTCTTGTCTCAAAGTCCGCACCTCTTCTTCGAGACCTACCACCTCGTACTTCGCCTCGTCGCGCTCTCGCCGAAGTCGATCCATGTAGTGCACTTTTTGCATCGGATTCTCGTGCGATGCTAGGTCGGCATTGAGCGTAGAAAGCAGTGAAGCTTCGGACTCGGCATGCAATGCGCGAGAGAGTAGTACCTTGTACTCTTTCGACAGCGTTTCGTAGGCGGTTTGGTAGCGCTCCGCATTGGCGAGCGCTTCTTGCAGCTCGTTGCAGTCGTCGCTCCAGCGATCTTCTTTGGCCTTTGCGTTGTTGAGCCGAGAGACGAGACACTTGTTCTGCTCCTTGAGCGAGCACACCTCCTTCTGCAGAGCTTCGTTGTGCACCTGCCATGCCTGTGCTCTACTTGATCCTTCCACCGCCTCTTCCCGCGCTTTGGCCAGCGAAGCGTCCAAGGTGCCGATCTGAGCTTCTTGCGTACCGATGCGCTTTTTTAGCTCTTGCGACTGGACGATGGCCTGATGGGCCAAAGAAGCCTCTCGAAGCAGATCCGGCTGGCGCTCGTGGAAATCGGCCAGCTCATGTTTCATCCTCGTCACCATGTCCTGCATACCGTCCAGCTCGATGCGAATCAGCTGTTCTCGCTGCTTCGCATCGGCGATCGCCGCTTCATACGCTTCCCGATCCAGCTGGAGCTCCTGCACATTGTTGGATGGCGCATGGTCGAACTGATGAGGCGTGCTCGACTCCGCACTGATATGGATCTCGCAGAAAGGCCTGCTTTGCAACTTTTGGATGTGTTCCTGCGCTTCGGCCAGCTGAGAGCGCAGAGATTGTTCTTGCTCCTTCACAGCGCTCAAAGCATCTTCAGACATTCCTTTCTCCTGCTCCATCTGCTCCAGCTGGGCTTCCGCATCCTTTCGTTGAGCTGTAGAGATCTTGATCATGCGCATGGCATCCGCTCGATCCAGCTTGGCAGCTTGCAATTCCTGCCCTACGGACGCAGACGCCTTCATGAGAGCCTCTTCGCGACCCCTGAACAGGTCGACCTGCTCATCCAAGCTCTGCACCTCCTCTTCTAAGCTCGTGATGTGCTCTTGCAGGCTGTGCAGCTGCTGCGAAGCGTCGTCGTGCTGCTCGAGCTGTTCTTGCAGCTTGGCTTCCGCTTTCTCGGCGCGCTGCTCCGCCTCGCTCAACGCCACGCTTCTTCTCTCCAGCTCGGCTCGCCACTCGGCATTTTCGGTCTGTGCATCTTCCATCTTCATCCTCAAGCTCTCCACTTCTTGTCCCAACCGTCTAGCCGCGCTTCTCGCCTCATCGCGCTCCGCCTTGTTCTTGGCAATCGCTCCGCTCCACTCCGATTTGCTCGTCGCGTGCAGCGATTCCAACTCTTTGAACTGCGCTCGCAGCGCAACGAGGTTCGTGCCCGAAGTGGCAGAGGATCTTGCTTTCTCCAATGCCGATTCGAGCTTCGTTCTCTTTTGACCTGCCAAACCTGCAAGTCGATCGCAAAAGCGCAGGGAAACACGCCTCAGCAGAGAGTCGACTCCACATGCGCCTCACGCTCAATCACCGCCGTACCATCCCTTCCACTCACGCAGCTCCACTTCGACTTCCTCCTTGGATCGCTTCAATTCAATGAGCTCCCTCTCCGCCTCCACAAGTCTCGCTTCCACTTTGCGCGCCCGAGCCTCCTCTTTGGCCTTGGCACCAGCTGCTCCTAGAGATCCGCTCGCTTGTCGAGAGGCTACAGGCACGTCATTCTCTTTGTCCGCTCCTGCCTGTACAAGTGTCGCATTGACACGACGAGATGCACCAAACATGCTGTGCGATTCAGCGAGCAGGCGTGGGCTGTATGCGTCCGTCCAGTCGGAGCGCGGTCGATTGAAATGATGCAGATGACCAGTGTGTATGAGTGTCAAGGTCGAGGAATAGTGGGACGCTTGCTCAGTAGTCACGGATAGTGCTACGCGCAAGCCGTGCGAAGCAAGTCAGGGTATGGTGTGATTTGTGATGCTTGCTGTCAGAATGAATTGGTGGATCGACCTTTACGATTGGCATCGGTGATGGATGGATTGACGTCAGCAGCAGCAGGCAGCATGCGAGCAAGCAAACCGTACAGGCTCGTAGAATCCACTTCAACCAACACTTGGTCCTGTGGCGCGCACGTGACTAGTCGTCCAGATTGCGTCGCGCGCCGCGCGCGCCCTCTCTCGCCTGCAGTATGCAAAGCATGCATGTTGGCCAGCATCATATGCTGCATGCATCCAGCTAACATCAAGAGTCACGACTCACGACTCACGACTCACGACTCACGAGTGCAGGCTTAATCTGAAGTCTTCTTTCTATATACGCTCGCTCGCTCATGTTTAGGCCGGCCCTCGCTCGGAAGACGCGGCTGCATGAGATGAACCAAGTCTGCTGGCGATGAGTCGCATTATGAGTCGCGAGTGTGAGTGAAGAGTTGCGAATAGTCGTGAGTCTGTTTGCATCATGCTCCGACAAATGCGACCCCGCCTGCCTGCCTGCCCGCCTTTTGATTGATGCATGCGTGTCGTGCTCTTTCTCGTGACCGACTTGTGACCTCGTCTGGCCTTGATCTCGCGGCTGTCATACAGGATATCATCCGAATTGTGTGTGAATCAATGCCTGCGCCCGCGACTACTCAACCATGCGCAACCTGCTGCGCGGCTGCGCAACCACAACAAACCACAATCACGAATGTGAATCTGAATCACGAATCGCGCGCGCCTCCGCCTCCACACAAATTATTGGCTCAGCACCCGCCACACCATTGCACCCAGTACGAGCACCCTCTCGCGCTCGCGGCTATCCTCGGCGTGAGAGAAAGTGATGCGATGCGATGCCATGCCATGCCATGCTGCGCTATGCAATAGCGCCATGCATCCAAAAAGCGCGATGAGTGTGCTTGATGATTGATGGGCCGATAGGTACAGTCACGAGTATGTTGGTACCGCACAGCAGCAACTCGACGGCGCGGCTGCTGCTGCTGATGCGCGTGTGATGAGTGTTCGCGCGCGCGCCGCGGATGAAACGGCATGCATGTATCAGCAGAGACGAGACGCCGGCCGCGGCCGCTGCGCTTATGTTGAAGTGGAGGGTGCTGTACCGGGTACACTCGCGTGCCTCCATCATGCAGCATCGCATGCAGCAGCAGGACTTGATTGACTCTCACAGACTATTCGTGATCCTGTACAACGCGCGACTTGCTTAATTGCTGCTGCTGATCGAGCCGATGTGGGGAATGAAGCGCGTTGAAGATGTTGATGAGATGCATCAGGTTGCCTAAGCTATGTGCACCCCTACCCTGCGGGAACGATGATCATTATTGCAGACCACGCCCAGCCTTCGTTCTGGTCGCTTTGCATTCAGCGTCAACCTATGCTTTGTGACCGATGCTTGCTCATCCTGGTTCGTGGATCAAAATTCCACGTACAGTATGTCCTTGCTGCGAGTGTCAAGAGTCACGAGTCAAGCATCGAGTATGAGCGACAGTGCAATCGTGAATGCGAGCGTCCTCTTGGCAATGCTCTCATGATCGTCCATCCTTCCGTGTCCATGTGGAAAAGAGTTGTCGAGCATTCTCCACCACTCTGACTCTAGCTAAAGCCATACGTTGCTTTCGCCATTGCCATGCAAGCGGAGCAAGCGGCTGGCTGGCTGGCTGACTTGCATTCTTTGCCCTCTCGCTTTCCGAGCCGTTCGCGGACATGAGGATCCTCACAGGGTGCCAAGAGCAGAGAAGGGTGGGTGTGCGGATGCAGTGATCCCAGGCACAGGGCCGGTGAAGCAGGGGCGGGCGCGACATGGAGGTGGAGGTGATCGAGCGCCGCTTGTCTGATGGGATGGAGACGGCGGCGGCGGCGGCGGCGGTAGCCATGAGCCAGCCGGCTTATCCTTCTACATACTCACGACTGTAGCTGCTGCTGATGCTGGGTGTCGACCGCGGGTGAACTATGATGATTTCTATGCAACGATCTAGCTCGTCCGTACCCTTCCAGTCACGACGGACGGTACATCCACGGTGTATGCAAGGCGTGCTGCCTCCCACCTGATGCCCCAGCACGATCGAGCAATAACTACGCCCCCGCTCTCCACATTTCATGTGGGCCGACCAGCTTTCATTGCAATTACCTCGCACGCCTCTTGCATGTGGAGCTCATGAAGACCTGATCAGCAGCTCGACAATTTGAATATCGTGCGTGTCTGCACCGTTGTCCTCAAATAGCGCCAGGGTAACTCGCCCCTGTTGCTCTCTCCCGGCATCCATGACACCTGATGCCTCCTTGGCCTTGATCTCGTTTGGTCATGTTATCAGCTATTCCGAGGCGTTTGCCATCTGCTCTCTCTTCCCAACTATCTTCCCAACTATCTTACCAAAGACCATTCCAAAGACCAGTCCAAAGACCATTTTCCACCTCACTTGTCAACATGGTCAAAGTTGTATGCGTGCTGTACAAGGGCGGTCCTGCCGCTCAAGAAGAGCCGCGCCTGCTGGGTACGACTGAGAACAAGCTTGGCATGGAAAAGTATATGAAGGACAATGGGCACACCTTTATCGTGAGTGTATGCATATGCATATGTTTGTGATCTCGATGATCGGAAGCTGAAGCAAGTGTCTTGCTCCCTCGATGTACTGCTAGGTCACGGATGACAAGGAGGGACCCAACAGTATGCTCCACAAGGAGATTGTGGATGCTGATGTTGTCATCACCACTCCTTTTCATCCTGGCTACATCAACGCTGAGCTGATTGACAAGGCACCCAAGCTCAAACTCGCCATCACCGCCGGCGTGGGTTCGGATCATGTGGACCTGAACAAGGCAAACGAGCGCAAGATCACAGTTGCCGAAGTGACTGGTTCCAATGTCGTTTCCGTGGCTGAGCACGTCATCATGTCCATTCTTCTGCTTGTCCGCAACTACAACGTCGGTCACGCCCAAGTGTACAGGAACAAGGAGTGGTACGTTGCAGACATTGCCAAGAATGCCTTTGATCTGGAAGGCTTGACAGTCGGTACGATCGGAGCTGGGCGTATCGGTTTCCGAGTGCTTCAACGTCTCAAACCCTTCAACTGCAAAGAGCTCCTTTACTTCGACTACCAGAACCTCCCATCTGATGCGGAGAAAGAGGTGGGAGCTAGACGCGTTCAAGACCTCGACGACTTTTTGAGCCAGTGCGATGTGGTCACCATCAATGCTCCTCTGCACGAGGGCACAAAGGGTCTAATGAACAAGGAGAAGCTCTCAAAGATGCGCAAGGGCTCTTGGTTGGTCAACACTGCTCGCGGTGCCATTTGCGTGGCAGACGACGTTGCAGATGCCGTCAACAGCGGACATTTGCGCGGATATGCCGGTGAGTTGTCTTTCTGCGTGGCGTGCGTCTTGTCTTCTTCTCTAGACCTCGTCGTGCTCACCTCATCTTCTCTTCCCGTGCTGCCACATTCCAGGCGACGTGTGGGACAAGCAACCGGCTCGTGAGGACCACCCTTGGCGCACTATGCAAGGACCCGGCGGTCCATCCGGCAGCTCCTACGGTAACGGAATGGTGCCTCACTACAGCGGAACGACAATCTCTGCGCAAAAGAGGTACGCCGAAGGCGCGTTGGAGATTCTTGACAACTGGATCAAGGGCAAGATCCAAACTCCTGCCAACATCATCGTGGAGAATGGAGAGTACGCTTCAAAGGCGTACGGTCAGGGACGTGGAAAGTGAGCTCTTTCGAGCGCCGGCGTCCTTTTGAGATTTGGACACCGTATTTCGCCGTGTGGCGCCTGGCACGCTTCGCCACGAATGCTTCATCTTTGTATGCTTGCTTGTATCTGCATATGCTGAAAGACACTGCCACGTGCTTCGGCTTGTCTGGCTTGTGAGAACAATAGCGTCAACATGCGCGGATAAGGATCAAGGTGAGGTAGAGGGAAGAGAGGAGGTGCACCACGCGTTCATGCTTGCACAGCACGGACTCTCCTGCTGGTGTATTCATTCCCCTTGCAAAAACGCGCGCGCCGCGGCCCCTGCTGCTCGCTCGCTGCTATAGCTGCAGGTGTATAGCCGCGTATACGCGCGCCGCATACGCGCGTGACCCCTGACTCGCTCAATTCTAACGCGCAGTGCTTTCACCGAGCGAGTTGTGCGCCACCAAAATGTGACTTGAACCTCAAACTCTTGGTCATTGCTTCCATCCCCTGAATCGGTTCCGCGAAATTTGGGTCGCTTGTCGACGACACGATATCCTATCCAGCTGCCTGCTTCGAAGCTATTCCTGTCCAGCAATCGACTCGATCCAAGCGCATTTCGGGATCATGGCGGAAGCGACGGCGGCGACGACGACCTCTCCTGAGCTCCGACCCACTTCGTACGTCCTCATCGGGGATGATCAGCCCATACATGCGGGCCGAGCGTCTGGCGGGCGTCTTTCCAAACGCGCTTCGCAGAGCGTCCCGTCCGATGTGACAAATGACGAATTCTTTGCGGAAAGTCAAGACGAGGCAGCTGCGTCGCCGATCGTGCTGCCAGTGCCGCCCGGTAGACCTCGCTTCTTTGTCTTGTTGCCAATCATGGCTACTCTGGACGTACTCATTTGCGCAGCACTCACCTCGCTACTTCTCTACGGCCCAGCCTCCGACGACCCGCCTGGTGGAGGAAATGACCAGGCTAAAGTGGAAAAGACGAGGAGGCTGATCTTTGCTTTAGCAGCGTCGGGTCTCATTCGAGCCATGACTGTGGGAGTGATTGGCTGCTCGCGAAAAGTAAGAGAGCTCACCATCGCAGTGGCAGCTATTTGCCTGGTGAGTCGTTGGCGCAGTGAGCATAGATGTGTAAGAATACCAAGAGGAGAACGATTGACCACCTCGCTTGCACTCTGAGCACAGGTGTCGATCCTAGTCATTGTATCGGTGTCCAACGTTTTGTTCCTACTGCCAGCAAAGGCGTGGAGCATGGATGGTATCGGAGGCTCTTTGATCAGCGTTCCTCATCATCTCGAAGAGCTTCCGCGCCTGAGCATCGCGTACCTCTCCGGCCAGCAACTCATCTTCACCCTCCTCGAGTGGGCTCTCTTCGTGGGCGTTGTGGGCGTTCGTGTTCCGCCAGGCGGGGTCAATGCAGCGGGTGCTCGACGCTGGCAACAGGCATTGGCGGCAGAAAGGTGGGACGGAGAAGTGGAAAGTCTGTATGAAGGGCGGTTGGGAGAAGAAGCAGGCGCAGAAGCGTATACGGAGCAGGCCACAGAAGCGGATCTAGGCGTCGACAACGGTGGCGAGACTTCCACGGAAACGGTGCGCACACCCAAGGCTGCTCGTCCTTCTTCATACCTGTCGACGTCAGCACGCGATCCCTCCAGACCCACCTCGCCCCTGGACCAGTACACTCAACCCTCCGCAAATTTGGCTACCTCTCCACCTCAAGATACGCTCTCACCTCTGCCTCGCTCTCCAGCTGCGTCCATCTCGAGGCGTTCCATTCGCTCGCCCATGCATGCTCAGCATTTTCACGCCAGTTCTCGCGATCTCGAAAGACAAGCTCCACCGTCCCTCGGATTCCCGGCGCAAGGTGCAGCAGAAGGCGAGGAGGAGGAGGAGGAGGAGGAGAGCGGATTGGATCCGGACGATATTGTCGATATCAATCCAAACGATAGACGATTGTCGAGGCAAGAATCCAAGAGGAGATTGGATGCTGCGAGGGCTAGAGGAGAATACGAGAGGGAGAGAAAGATCAGCTCCAACAGCCTTGCAGGTGCTACTTCTCTCTTCTCTCGAAGTCCGACCAACGCGACGAGCACGCCCGCGTCCGGAGGCGCTTCGCGATCGCAAACACCTACTGGAGAAGGCAAGAGGCTGTTGCGAGGATCTGCCAGTCCTTTCGCTTCCGACGCCCAAATTCCGAGATCCACGTACGGATCGACAGACTTGGCTTCTCGGCCTTCCATTCCTCCTTCAGCTTCCAGGGCCTCTTCGATGCACACCACTCCACACGGCCATGCCGTTGATCCTTCCGTCTCTTATTCTTCAACATCATCCGCTCAGGATGCGCAGACGCCTCCATCTTCAGGACCAAAGAGGCTGGCAAACAGGCTCAAAAGACCTTCTTGGTTGCCTAGCACCAAAAAGGCCAGGCGGAGCGTCAGTGGACAGCAGAGCGATCGAGAGGCATGATGCGCGTCGCCGTGCGCCACCGCAGCATGGCTATTCAAGCATCACTTGCCGCAGATGGATCAGTATTCCCCTCAATGGCTCGTCTCACGACTCATCTCACGCAACACTGCTGATCATTCCCAGCTTGAAATGTAATTGTACAACTTTTCCTTTGTCTTCAGCTTCGTACGAAGAGGATTCTTCATTTTTTCGTCATCAGAAAGAGGTCTGCACCTTGCTCACTGGGTCAACGAGTCATCAGGAGGGCCGAACCGACGTTTGGCTCGGCCTGAGACCCAGCAGGCTCATCACTGGATAGCCTGCAGCACTACATCTAGAGCTTTTCGTATACCCTCGGCGACATAAGTCAGCTCGGCCTCTTTGATTGTGTAGGGAGGCGCAATTAGGACGTGGTCGCCTCTTTTTCCTGCACGTCAAGGAGGACACCAAGGGTGAGCAACGTTGCCTGGTGCTGCGACCTTGTGAAGGGGGACAGATCGTGTTTTGACACTCACCGTCTACAGTGCCCTTGCCGGGATAGAGAACGATTCCAGCGTTTTCTGAGGTGGCTGACTTGATCACTGTGTAAAGTGTCATCAGATGTCAATTGGCTGTTCACCAAGAACCAGTGCGAGTCTGGTCACCCCCAAGGCGACTCACGCGCTTCGACCACTTTCGGTGCTACTCCAAGCTGCGGCGCAAATGGCTCCTTGCTCTTACGATCGGCGACAAACTCCACGCCGTAGAAGAGTCCTCTCTGTGCGAGTCAGAGAGTCGACCTCATCAGATAGTGTTTGGCTTTGCAATGATGGACGCCATTCGACTCACTCCTCGGATGTCGCCAACGTGAGGATGATCGCCCAGAACTGTTTTCAGCGCATGTTCCAAAAAGACGCCTCGCCTCTTGCACTGGTCCACCAGATTGTCCTCTTTGATGATGCGCTGCACTTCGAGCGCCGCGCGCGCTCCTACGGACCAAGAGGAGTAGGTAAAGAAGGTGCTGACACCTCTTGGTTCTGCATCAAGTGTTGACACTACCCTTCTATTGGCCAAGACCGCCGAAAGCGGCGCATAGCTGAGATTGGGAGTGACGACGATCAGCACTGAGACACCTCATCGAGCATCCCAAGACTCACCCGCCATTAAGACCCTTGGCAATGGTAACAATATCCGGATAAACGTGTTCGTGCTCGAAAGCCCACAAATAGCCCGTGCGACCCATACCGCTCATAATCTGCAGAGCGATGCACACACAGTCAGCTTGTAGCGCGGCATTGTCTTTCCCGCGACTCTCGCTCACTTCATCCATGATCAAAAGGGCGCCGTGCCTGTCGCACACTCGGCGCATGGCTTGCCAGTAGCCAGGCACAGCGGCGACCGCACCTGTCGTTGCTCCCACAACTGTTTAGGACATCGCAAATGTTCAGAGTCGAGTCCTTGTGCGCCCATCAGCAGCATTCTGGACTCACCTGTCTCGCCGACGAACGCAGCAACTGTGTCAGGCCCCAGCTCCTGGAACTTCGCCTCCAATTCATCCTCGAGCCGTGCGACATACGCTTGGTCGCTCTCACCGTCACGCTGATAGCGGTATGGGAAACAGGGCGAGACGTGATGATTGAATGCGCTCGGCAACATCTCTTCGTACATTGCCCTTCTGGGAACATTGCCTCCTACGCCCAGCGAGCCTATCAGAGTACCGTGATAGCTTTGTTGCCGTCCAATAAAGTTGATGCGACGATGTTCGCCCTTCTTGTAAAAGTGCTCTCTTGCAAGCTGATGCGGTGTGGAGTAGACGTGCAAGCGTCAGCAGGCGAACAAACACCTGCTCGGACTTGGCAGCAGCTCACCTTGAGGGCGCTTTCCAGAGCCTCGCTTCCACCAGAAGCAAAGTAGGCTCGTTCGAATTCGGCCTCTTTGGGAGCCGAGCTGCAAAGGAAGTTGGCCAGCTCTTCAGAAGGGTCCGTGGTCCAGTTCAAGCTGTGACAGTAATTGACCGTCTGCAATTGTTCGCACAAGGCCGACACGACTCTCTGATTGCCATGTCCTACTGTCACGACGGCCTGAGATGAAGTTGAGGGAAGGGCAAAGACGTGGAGCATGATACCTGTCAATGTCGAGCGCAGCGCAGTTCCAACGCTCTAGTACACTCGGTAGTCCGGGCCAGACCTTACGACATGGCAGCACGCAGGAGCTACGTGAGCGCTGCACCACTCACAGCACCGCCGCAAGCGTCCAGCCACCTCTTGCCATCTGGTCCATAGATATAGCAGCCTTCAGCTCTCTCTGCCTTCATGGGAGCCTGCTTGAGATTCATGTGCAGCACGTGGCTAGTCTTGACCGCCTTCCCGATAGCTTGAGACGAAGGCCGATGCTCAGCCGACCTGGACTCCGGCATGGATGCGGGAGCGTTCGAAGCGACTGGCGGTACCATGTTGACTTTGACAGAGACGTGCAAGAGTCGGACCTGGTGCGCGGGTATTGTCCGCTGTGAAGCTGAGTGAATGGTGATGGAGGTTAGAAACGGCTAGGTGCGATGAAGCGTACGGGCATGCACACCTCGTTACTTACAGGCGACGGGTGCTCTGACGAAGGGAGGGCGTGCTGAGAGACGGATGGGAGATGGGGTCCGAGCATTCGAACAGCTGATACGCATCGCCGTGAACCTGCATCCAGCTGTTGAAGGGTACGAAATGTGGATGAAGATGTGCTAAACTTACCTCAAGTGCAAGATATTCTCATGATGGCTTGCATCAGCGCCTGTCCTGCAATTGAAATTGAACATTGAACGATTATACAAGCCTAGAGATAAGTCAGGATTCAGGATTCAAGATTGACGGGTCAAGTGCTCAGGCTCGAGTCACGGGTGTCCATTCAGCAGTCAAGCAGGCAAAAGAAGTCGATGGCATTCAAAGTTCGCAGCTACGCCCATCCATCACTTTGACTCGACTATCAGCATGTAGGAAAGTTGGCCGTCTTGCGGGGCAAAAAGCAAGCTAGCTAAGCAACGGCCGGGCTGTGCTGTGCTGTGCTGTGCTGTGCTGTGCTGTGCTGTGCTGTGTGCACGCAAGAGGCACCTACGGTATACGCGGTAACATTAAAATAGGACACGCGCCGATTACACTGATCAACGCTCAGCTATCAGTCAGAGTACGATTAAATCCAAGATTGTACACAAGCTCGAGTCACCGTGCGCGCTCACGCCATCGCGCGTGATCACACGCAAGTTGAGCCGCGGCAGAAAGGCCGATACACGTGATGCTAGCTTCTTCTCGGCCGAGTCACGTGGATGGAATTGTGTGCACGAGGTATTCCCGGAAAGCTCTCGAGAGCAGCGAGCTTTTCCCGATTTACTTTGATTCGAGATTGGATACCTCAAAAAACGTCTGAGACTTTGACTGTTGTAAGTTCGTGTGCTTGGCAGTGGGCACGTTATTTGGAAAGGTGTGATGTCTGACTACAATTGTCGTCAAGTAAGGGCGGAAAGAGGTTGGACTGACAGCTATAATTACAAGTGAATACAAGATGCACGCACCCTCATCCAGTCAAACAGCAGCGCGCAAGCGGCAGCACAGGGCCTTGAATCTTGCGCTTGATGGGCGGGCGCACGCGCTCGCGCGGATGGAAAGTCTTGGCGCAAAGGCTCGGCGCTGCAAGCCTGCTTCCTCATCCTCTCTGCCTTCACACCAGGCGAGGCATTGGAACAGCTGCTCTTCATTGAGCAACAAAGAGACCGAGTCTTGCTCACAGCATGTCCCCAGGGACTCCGTATGAAGAAGTCGTTGAAGCACACAAGCCCACCTCGAGAGGCTTTTGCCGGATGTCAGGTCGAAACTGGCCTTTTCGTCGAGCAGAACAGAGGAAAGGCACCGTGACTCTATGGCACGCGTGGACGATGATGCTGACAGGTCGTGAAACAGAGGGAGGAAATCGCTAATGGAGCAAGGGTCATACGGGCACTCGCACTGCGAATCAGTCCGACCGTGGTTGAGAGGGGTCCCTTGCCCACGAAGAGCAATAGCCTCAGCTAAAGTGGACAGGTCCTTCTGACGCCTGGAAGTGGCTTGCCAGCACTTCTCACAAGCTGGAAAGCGCGAGCTAGCTCGTCTTGGCGAGCATCCAACGCATGCACGGGCAAGTACCTGCGTTTGCTGCGGCAGATCTTGGCATTCTTATCGACCATCACTTCGCGCTCCATGCGACGTGTGGCTCGATGTTCGAGGAGAGGCCGAGCCCTTTTTGCCGCATGCAAGACGTATGGCTCTACACCATGCCCGCTGCACTTTTGGTAGCAGTGCTACCTGGGCCGCTCAGTCCTGTGCTGATGCCGCTCAGAGCAAGCCGGCACACGAGTTGCTAGTCTCGCTGAAGGTTGGCTCAAGCCTCAAAGGCAAGCTCTTGAATCAACAGACCGAACCGCTCTTCCCGTCGGTCTCGGCAAAATCACCTACTTTTGTGGATTGATCACGACATCGCCGAGCCTACATGAGTGCACTCACCATTCAGGACAGATTCGCGTCTAGACTGTTGAAAGCGAAGTCCTCAAGCATCAACCTTATGTGCGACATGACCAAGCCTTTGCCAGCCAAAGCGTGGCTGCAGGACCTGCGGCAAAGCGGCCTAAGTGATAGGCTTTGTCAGATAGGACTGGAACATGTGGCGGCTGCAAAAGCGAGCGGAACTTCTGGCAATGCGGATGACCGTGGCACCATGAGGTACTCGCAAATGAGATGCATGATCAAGACACAGAGATGGAAAGGTGCCATATAAGCCAAGCGTTTGCCTTGATGTTCGGGACGCTCTGCTCCAACCACAAATCGTGCAGCGTTTTGTATTAAATAGACCGTGAGCATTCAGACACAGCTCAGCTCTTACCGCCCGTCGTCACCTCTTGCAACGGTTCTTGACGCTCCTCACTTGTCTACCTCACTGCTTCGGTCAACGACATGACGCAGACGAGCAGCAACGCTGCCGAGGCGACCTCGAGGACCGACACGGTCGCACCTGGCACCCACACGGTACGTCGAGCGTCAACGGAAATCGACATTGATGCCTCAGCCAGCGAAGCTTCGAGCGGTGAAGATGCAGAAAAGAAGGCGATCGAAGCTCGAACGGAAGAAGAAATCCAAAGGGAGCACTTGAGCGTCATTGCAGCCCTGGCGAGGGAGCCTGATGCCAAGCGCGAAGATCTGGCAAGGGTGGCCGGAAATGCTCATGATGTGACCGCTGCCAAAGAGGATGAGACGACCATCTCACAATTGCTTTCGGCCTTTGGTATTGGCAATAAGAACAAACCCAAGCCCAACCCTGAAGACATTGCCACTCAGCCATCCGTGTATGACGATCCGAATCTTTCGAAATTCTTCACCCCCACTAAAGGGTACGAGAACCTCCACCGATTCGACCCCTCGTTCACTTGGACCAAGGGTGAAGAATCTCGCTTGATTAAACGTTTGGATTGGAGAATCACCGCATGGGCCTGTCTTGCATTCTTTGCTCTGGACCTCGGTAGAGGCAACCTCTCGCAAGCCAACACGGACAACTTCATTCCTGACCTCGGAATGAGAAGGAACGATTACAACTTGGGAAATACGATTTACCAGGTGTCGTTCCTGCTCGCTGAGATTCCAAGTCAGATGATCAGCAAGAGACTGGGAGCTGATCGCTGGATACCTTTCATCATGGTGAGTCGCGAACTTCATGCCCAGACTCCAGTGGTCCAGTCACTCACGCTATTCCTCTTGCAAGCGTAGATTGCGTGGAGCATTGTCTCTGGAGCTCAATTCTTCTTGTCGGGCCGCACTAGCTTCCTCGTCACTCGCTGCCTTCTTGGCTTGCTTCAAGGGTGAGCTGAAGCAGCTACGTCAGGCAATCTCTCGACGACGCTAACGAGGCCACTTGACTTTCGTGCAGAGGTTTCATTCCCGAAGCCGTCCTATACCTGGTGAGCCGTTTGTGCCTCGAAAGTGCAACGAGGAATGCTTTCCGTGGACAGTATCTGACTATTGCCAACTACACTCAGACTTACTTCTTCAAAACCGCCGAGCTGCCACTGCGATTGGCCATTTTCTGGGCCATGCGACGTGTCGCAGATATCGTGGCTCCATTGCTTGCGCTCGGCTTGCTCCAAATGCGAGGAGTATTGGGATATGAAGGATGGAGATGGCTGTTCCGTAAGTCGCTTCTATGCCACGGTCTCGACCAGCTCTTGCTGACTTTGCACCGTGCTCGCTGATGTCTCGCTAGTGATGGAGGGCATCATCATGCTTATCATTGGTATCTACTCGGCATGCACCATGGTCGCGTCTGCTACGCAGACGAAGAACAAGTTTCTCAGACCGAATGGATGGTTCAACGAACAAGAAGAAAAGGTTCTCGTAATGAGAGTTTTGCGGGATGATCCCAGCAAAGGTGAGCAGCTCCAGTGCAGCAAGGTCCAAGCCGCGTAGCCACCACTGATGCCGATTGCGCATCCGACAGGTGACTTACATAACCGTCAACCCGTCACACCGAAGATGCTCTTGAAGGCCCTATCGGACTGGCACATGTGGCCGCTGTATGTCTGTGGTTTGATCTGGGAGATGCCCGCTGGACCTCCAGACCAATAGTGAGTCCAAGCTTCGATGATAGCTAGTGTCCAACTCTTGTAATGACCTCCTATGCCGTAAATTTTGGCTGTCAGCTTCACGCTCATCCTGACCGATCTCGGCTTCGACACGAACGAATCCAATCTGCTATCCATTCCACCTCAAGTCGGCGCCATCTTGAGCATGTTCTTCTTCACCTACATTTCCATCGTCCTATCGCGCAAAGCGTTCGTGGCTGTGTGGACCCAAATTTGGATGCTTCCGTGCTTGGTCGCCCTTGCGACCCTGCCAACAGGCGCCAATCCTTGGAGCAAATTCGCCATTCTCACCGTGCTGCTCAGCTTCCCCAGCCCTCATCCAGTGCATGTCGGGTGGTGCAGCCAGAACTCTAATAGTGTCAGAACTCGAGCTATCAGCGCTTGCGTCTGTGAGTATCAGAACGTCTGACATGCTCAAGATCGTCCGCGCGGCATCTGACTCTCTCCGTATATTTCTCAGACAACATGATGACCCAGCTCGGTCGTGTCATTTACAGCAACATTTATAGAGAGGACGACGAGCCAGAGTATCGCCGTGGTAATCGTACATTGGTGGCCATCTGCTCCATGAATATCTGGTGAGTGACGTTTCAAATGCTTCTATCTCCTCGATGAAGACCTCGTGGTCCGCCACTTACGCCTTCCTAATTCTGTTTCCGCTCAGCATCTATGCCCTAATCTCGCTATTCTACACTCTGGTCAATCGACACAGGTCGAGGAAGTGGGATGCGATGACCAAGGAAGAGCAGCTGGAATACATGTCACGCGCTGACGGCAAAGCTCTGGGTAACAAGCGACTCGACTTTAGATTTGCATGGTAAACTCTCGACAGTTATGTTGTCGTTACCACGCGGTCACCCTTCACGTGGGCTCCGACTCGTCCCCACAGGAGAAAATCTTTACGAACCGTTGCCCGTCGAGCCGTGCTCCTGCTTTCTCTGGTGCCATGCTTGCCGGCCCTGATTTGTACAATTCTCACAAGCATACGCCACGGGATAGAAGAGATGAATTGTGATGCTCTTGTGATCTTGTCACGCCCACAGGCAGCCAGCCAAGCAGTGTGTCTCGTTTTGAAGTTGCGACTCGATGCTGGCGATGGAAGTCTGGAAGCGCGCGATAGCGCAAGCGTGCGCATCAATCGCACAATCGCACAAGTTGGCGTTGGTAAGAGCTTCTGATGAAATAGATTCATTATCGTGATTCACACAAGCAAGACTACCTTCTTGCTCCCAGGGGCGCATTGTTGCTGCCTGTCATGAATGCAGGCGGGGGACCTTGCAGGTTACCAGGTGGAGGAGGTCCTGCCGGATTCGTTCCTGGCGGGGGTGCACCAAAGCCGGGCGGCGGAGGTGGTTGCTGAGCAGATTGAACGCCAGGAGGAGGGCCGGCATAGCCATTGGGGGGTGGCGGTGCGGGCGGGAAGGCAGGTGTGGGTGTACCCGATGATGGAGGCGGGCCTGAGTATGTAGGGAAACCGGCTGGCGGCGGAGGCGGAGGGGCCAGACCCGTTGCGGGACCGGGCTGACCAAAGGGCATGGGTGGACCTGGCGCTGGCGCTGGCACACCAGCATACGCTCCACCCGGCGGCGCACCAGCTCCGAACAAGGGAGCTCGAACAGGCGGCAAGGCGCCATTTCTTCTGGCTTGACGAGCTAACAACCGCTCTGCTTCTGTGCCGTGCCTCTCTCCTCCCTTGCCGTCCTTCTTGATTGCATATGCTACATTGATGGTGCGATTGGAGAGGTACTGCTGATCTAACGCTGCAATTGCTGCATCTGATGCTTCGAAGGCGTCAAAGGCAACAAATGCGTAACATTTGGATGCGTTGGTCACGGGGTCTCTTGCGAGCTGTGCGGTCCACGCCAAGACGGAATTGCGGAGAATATCAGAGAGTCAGCAGCGTCTTGCAGCTGCTCGCACAGGTTGCGACTCACTTTGGGCACATTTGTGAGGTTTCCAAACGCGCTGAAAGTCTCCCACAGTAACCTCTCGTCTACGTTGGGGTCCAAATTGCCCACGAACAGGTTGGCACCGATATCGATCTGCTTCTTATCGCTGCTGGCTTTATTGACCCTCAAGGGTTTTCCGAATAGCTTGATGCCGTTCATGATCCTCACTGCATACTCTGCGTCTGCTTCGGTCGCGAACTCCGCAAAGCCGTAACCTTGATGTGCCGAGGTGATGCGGTCTTTTGGTATGTGGATGGTGTGCACTGGACCGGCCTGTAGCATCAGCTCCCAAAGCAGCGCATCCGACGCCCGATCATCCAGGTTACCGACGTAGCACGTCGCCTCCTGATTGCGGTCTGTGCGAGGAGAGAAGCGAGACTGTCAGAGCCTGGATGCAGCGCTAAGGAGCACCAAGACTAGGCAGCTTCGACGAGGTCAAATGTCCACTCACCGTTTTCCTGAGGTCGCGACATCATGCAACGAGGGAGCGCGTTCCGCAACCAGCATGCAACACCAATGTGTTGATTACTCTGTATAGCACAAGGCTTGGATGTGCGCGCCCTTCAAGTCTGTGTGCCACCAAAGACGCAAACGCCCGAGTTGTCTGAGGCCAGATAGATGACTGTCACGCTCGGGAGTGCACGAAGCGGAAGCGGACTCGAGCGAGATGGCAAGAAGCGCGCGTGGTGAGGGCGTGAGAGACTTGGATGAGTCTTGAGTGGTATAGCAATAAATGTGATGGGTCTCGTCCGCATTTTGGTATGGTCAAAGTATCTATATCAACCTTTGAGCATGAAATGCTTCGTTGGGTGAAGCTGCTGCATGGCCTCGATCCCCGACTCACGACTTCAGAAACGAAGAGCGTGTGAGATCACGTGATCACTGCAGGGAACATGTCACGTGCTTCAGTCCGAGCTGAGACGCGCGCAGGACGCGTCGATGCAGTATGGTAGGAGTGACGCGTCAATTTACACGTCCTTTGGTGAAGACGCGTCTTCGAGAAGCAAGCTTTATGGCCTGCAAGCTGTTTGGATGTGGCAGCACTAACCAAGCCAAAGGTGGGCTTGCGTGTAATGCACGAACAGGGCAGCACGCCCTCCTGACGCCTGTGGAAGGCCCACGAGCTCGCACGCCCGCAACATCAGTGTGCTCCTCACTCTCATCTCAGACACAAAGCGCGCTCCGTCCACAGCTCCTCGTTCTGCCACCATAGACCATTCGCCAAACGCTTGTCGACGACTCATCAACAGGAGCTCCCTCAAGCGTCGCCCAACATGGAGCAAACGACGTTCGATTCGCCCTTTGCACAGGATGACGAGCAGCGCGATCGCGCTCGCGTCTTTGGCGAGTTTCTGTCAGACGAGGTGAGTCTTCTCGTCCCTCGTTCGGGTATCGCGTCCTCTCCGCAAAGCTCACCTTGGCCTTCCTTGGACCGAACTTGCAGTCATCTCGCACAAATTATACCGACCTTATCAGACGCATGCTGCACCAAGATCATCGCAGGCTCATCGTCAACATCGACGAGCTGCGTTCCTACAATCGAGACTTGGCCACTGGACTGCTCGATTCTCCTAATGAATTCTTGCCAGCTTTCGACATTGCACTACGCAACATGGTCGATCAGCTTCACGATCCTCTCAAAGACGACGTGCAGGGCAAGCAGTACTACATCGGTCTGAGGGGCAGCTTCGGTGATCATCACGTCAACCCTCGGACGCTTCGCAGTCAACATCTCGGCAAGCTGATGAGTTTAGAGGGAATCGTTACGAAGTGTGAGTCGACTTGCCGAAGCGCTAGCGATGGACAAGTCGCGCATTGACGACGGTGCCGCAACTCTCTGGCAGGCTCTCTTGTTCGACCAAAGGTCCTCAAGTCAGTCCACTACTGCGAGGCGACCGGCAAGCATCACGCGCGCGAATACCGTGATGCGACGATGTACGGCACACTGCCGCCCTCCAGAGGTGCCTACCCGACGGATGATGGGAATGGCAACCGAGTGACCACAGAGTATGGGCACAGCCTGTATCGCGATCATCAGATGATCAGTATTCAAGAGATGCCTGAACGCGCTCCGCCGGGACAGCTGCCCAGATCGGTCGATGTGGTCATGGACGACGATCTCGTTGACGTATGCAAGCCCGGTGATCGCCTTCAGCTCGTTGGCATGTACCGCAGCCTGGGAAATCGCGTCGGGCAAAGCACCAGCTCCACTTTCCGGTGAGTCGAGATGGTTCACAACGCTGCGACACTTTCTCACCATGCTCACGTCCGCGCATCTCCCTGCGCTCGTCATCTCCAGCACCCTCATGATTGGCAACAATGTCAACTTGCTCTCCTCCAAAGCGGGCGGTGGCATCGCTCAGGCTCACATCACCGACACAGACGTGCGCAACATCAACAAGGTTGGCAAGCGCAAGAACATTTTTCAGCTACTGTCCCAGTCTCTAGCGCCCTCGATTTACGGCCACGACTACATCAAGAAGGCCATCCTGCTCCTGCTTTTGGGAGGCGAGGAAAAGAATCTCACAAACGGCACGCACATTCGTGGAGACATCAACATCCTCATGGTGGGAGATCCCTCCACAGCGAAGTCGCAGATGCTTCGTTTTGTGCTCAACACTGCTCCCTTGGCCATCGCAACTACCGGTCGGGGCAGTTCAGGCGTTGGTCTGACTGCTGCTGTCACAAGCGACAAGGAGACTGGCGATCGTCGCCTCGAGGCTGGCGCCATGGTGCTCGCTGATAGAGGTGTTGTGTGCATCGACGAATTCGATAAAATGTCGGATGTGGATAGAGTTGCCATACACGAAGTCATGGAACAACAGACTGTGACAATCGCCAAAGCTGGCATCCACACCTCGCTCAATGCGCGATGCAGCGTAGTCGCCGCAGCCAATCCGATTTATGGCCAGGTGAGCGGCTGTGTTTCAAGCTAGTCTGTCAATCGAACCTCTTGCTGATCTACCACTCATACTGAACAGTACGATGTTCACAAGGACCCACACAAGAACATCGCCTTGCCGGATTCGCTGCTCTCGCGTTTCGATTTGCTGTTCGTCGTGACGGACGATGTGGACGAGCAAAGAGACCGAATGATCAGCGAGCATGTTCTTCGCATGCATCGCTACTTGCAGCCTGGATTGGACGAAGGCCAGCCCGCTGCCGATAGCTTGGATCAGGTCCTGAACGTCGGCGCGCCAGACAGCACCGATGCAGATGGCGCACTGCTGGTCGGCGATTCTAACCCTTTCGAGCGCTACAATCCGCTACTGCACGCCGGCATCACGGAGAGCGGCAAAGCAAAGAAGAAGGAAGTCCTGTCCATCGCCTTTGTCAAGAAGTACATCCAGTATGCCAAGCAGCGCATTCACCCGAAGCTTTCTCAACCTGCTGCAGACTGGATCGTCAACGTGTATGCTAATCTGCGAAACGACGAGTTGTCCGGCAATCAGCGCAAGACCAGCCCATTGACCGCGCGTACGCTCGAGACGCTCATTCGTCTTGCCACTGCGCACGCCAAGTCTCGACTGAGTCACATCGTCGATGAGCGCGATGCCGAGGCTGCGGAAGAGATTCTGCGCTTCGCTCTCTTCAAAGAAGTCATCAAGCAGAGGCGGAACAACAAGAGACAGAGGACTGGAAGAGGTAGTCGTTCGCCTGCTAGCGATGAAGAGAGCGATGAGGAGGAGGACGACGACGCTACGACTGCCAAGGCGGCGGACGAGTACTCTGGTACGGGCGCATATGCGACTCGTGGTGCAGCACGGGGCACAAATCAACAAGCTTCGTCTAGCGTGCCTGCCGGTGCCTCTCCGACTGGACGACGTGACGCGAGCGAGCCGCTGGAGGATGAAGATGCTATTCAGGCGCTCCGAGAAGCAGATCAGATGGGCCATGGAGCAGCTCCGCACATTGTCGCTCCACCCGCAGCGGCTGGTGCACCAGGCTCCGCGGGCGGAGCGGCGCTGAGCGACGCGAGGTTGGAAAACTTTAGGGAAAGAGTCGCGATGGCTATGGCCTCTGGAGGTGCTATGGCAGAGGAGGAAACCTTTACTCTGGACGACGCGCTGCCCATCATCAACCAGGGATTGCCTGCGGCAGATCTGTTCAGCAGCAGCGAGGCGCTCTCGGCAGTCCAGCGCATGCACGACGATGGTCAGGTCATGCTAGACGAAGGCACCATCTACCGCATTTGATGCGCCGCGCGAGATTTTGGACCCGTTTACCACCCGCCAGCCGCTTTGATTCAGGTGTGTATTTGTTTTGCCCACGGCGAGCCATTGAATGTCACTTTATGCACGAGATGTGCTGGCAAGCTTCGAGCGCCATCGGCGAAGCTTTCAGTGTGCCGACGATAGCCGTCTGCTGCGGTGTGTCCGCTTCCAGGCGAGATAACTTCAACATCAAATTGGCACCATTCTTCTTCATGAGAATGAGCATGCGAAGTACAGGCGCACCACGTGGCATGCCACGCTGCGAGAGAGCAGGGTACGCACTGTAAAAGGGTAAAAGTACAGTTTGGAACGAGCGGGTCAAGGAGGCCTAACTCTCGGGCAGCAGACTTGAAGGTGCAGACGCCTACTGCGAAGCTTTTGGATCGAGCAAAATCAGCACACGGACCTCTATAGACCATCTAGGCTTCGCATCCTTGGGCGAGGTAGGGTCGACGATGGCGGTATGGGGAGTCCTAGTCTCCGTCTCGCTATCGTAGCACTTGAGCAAGATTGCCTGATTGGTCTTCAAGCTCGAATGATAGTACCACCTATGAACCGGATTTTTGTGTATCAACAGGAATTGACCAGTCCAATCTTTGAAAATCAGATCGGCTTGAACCCAGTCGGATGTACCGTCGGCGTGAACGCCTACCGTGCGGGAATCGGCTACGGCTAGCGGATCTTCTTCCACTGGACCACGCAAAGGCCGCCAGACGTTGATCAGCTGAGCCGCTAGCTCGCCAGACTTGACCTTGGCAAGCGTCTCGTCGCCTGTCAGGCAAACTCGGATCGGAGGTCAGCTAAACTTCAAAGTCAAGCAGATATAGCCATGGCAAGACGCCGAGACTCACCCAAATGCTTCCTGATGCGGTTCTCGCCGGACCATCGGCTCTGATCACAATGAGCCTGAGCAACGGGCTTTCGGTTGAAGGGATCATCGGGTATATGCTTGGTCTGCCCTTTGCGAATGGTATGGTCAAAGATGAAGGTGCCCTGCACATGCTGACCTCTTTGTGCCAAATTATCCTTCAAAAGCTGATCCACATCCTTGTAGTAAGCCTGCTTGATCCATTCCTCATCATTCCACTTTTCCTCGCTCCACTCTGTTTCAGTATCTTGTTGACCAAAGCCTTGCACTATCTCGAACCCTGCACCGTGCGTGTTTAGACCCGATGCTTCGCGCTCCGAAAGCGTGGTGGATGCTAGATCGGTAATGTCGACGGATACGCTCTCGTGCACCACATTGGTCAGGTCTTCACCTTCGTTGCGGTGTGCACGATGGTAAGGCTTCGCGATGGACGCGTCCAAGTACTCAATCGTAGCTTTGATCTTTGGAAGTCCGGCCAGGGAGACGGTGCCTGCTGCAGGTCCAGCAGATGATTGGATCTGAGTCGTATTGGTTGCGGACATGCTTCTTTTCTCTCGATCGGTCGTGCGCAGGGAATTGGATCTGCGATTGCGGTTCAGGGGAATTAAAGCTTGTGGGGCGGTGTTGGTACGAGTACATGGTGTGCGGGAGGCAATGCGTTGCTCGACGAGGCAACTCTGGGACTCTATATAGGTCACGAGGACAATGAGTGGCTTTGCAATCACCCTGCAGCGAGAAAGCTCATCTTGAAATCGTGAGTGTGTTGCCCGCTAATACCTACAAGCGTCACTGCTGAATGAGGTTAGAGTGACTTCTGACTGTGACCGAGGGCATGCCTTGAGGCAAGGCATCTCGGAGCTAAATGGTCCTCTTACCGCGTACTTGATCGGGACACTTTCGACTTGCGACTGTCTTTCGGCCGTTGCGTTGCTAATCCGAGTCAGCAAGTACCCTCACGACTCTGACTGCAGACAGGGGGACTGCGTATAGCCGCAAGGACCGACATTTTGCTCGCAATCTTGAACGCCCCATCTCATCCATCAATTTGAAGATGCTTGAGTCTGAGTCGCGAATCGTCACCAGACGCTCGTCGTGGCTTGGGACGCAGCCGGCCATGTCTCGCAATCGAGATGACATCTCGCGCCATCCCTCGTGACTGCAATTAAGCTGCTATCATATCACCTCTAGATTTGACGCATCCACTCAGCATCAAGCCGCCTTTGTACGCGTCAAACCGCAAGAGGGTTGTTGTTGAATCGTGAGTTTGAGCCAGACCCCGCCCAACCCTCGGACCAAATTCGAGAACAAGCTCTGCGGAAGAAAAGACGTGGGGCTGGATGCTTTTGAACACGTGACACGCGAGGCGCGTTGACAACCGAGGCGCGCTTCAAAAACCCCACGCGAAGAGCAACACTTATCCAGCAAGTCTTGCGCGCCGCGGCTGATGTCCTCTCGCTGCTTGCATGCGTGCATGTATATGCAGCATCTGATGATGATGGTGGAAGTGATTATATAGCTAGACGCGTCCTTTCAACTTCTACCGCAACCCACCATGCAGCAATTACCGGCTGCTGCTGGGCTCGAGCTCAATTCGTTGCGGCTGGAAGCGCATGGCAGGAGTGGCCGGTCTGAGCGATCTCATTTCTTTGGTGGCTGCATGGAGACGGGATATGCTGGACTGAGCGCAATCCGTTGTTGACTGCATGTCCGTGCGCGAATCGTGAATGATTGAGCGATGAGAAGTTCATCGCTTGAGTTGAAGCGTTGGAAGGCAACGTGTCAATGTCTCATCCTCTGTGCAGCTTGACACACATCAAATACCGTACGTGTAGCTTCAACATCATCAGCATTCAATCAAGTTGCAAGCCGCGCGGCCCGAGAAAGGATCAGTGCTTCAGTATCGAGACGCATCCTCACCCTCATCAATGATCCTCCTCTGACTCAAACTACTACCAACATCCGCTGCTTCGAAACCTCCTAACACTGCCTACCCGCATCGCCGACGACCACGGCATATCTCCACAAGCTCCACAGGAGGAGCTGAGAATCAGAAGCGGAGGCTTCTCGGAGACTGCCCGACTGATTCGAGCATCACAGCCCTCACCCATTCAGCCGAACACTAGGCTCTGCGAGTGTCGAGATGGCCACTCGAAAATCTCAGCAGAATTCTGCCGCCTCGGTGATAGATGGATGTGAGCCACGAGCTTTGCGAGCATGCGAAACCTTGCCAGTGAGGCGAGTCGAGGATGATAGAATGACTGACCCCCCTTGGCCTTACTACGCGCTGATGTATAGACGAGGTGGTGGATCAGATCGGCAAAGGGTCCTTTGGGGTCATCCGCAAGGTCAAGAGGAGGGTGGATGGAAGGATCTTTGCTCGCAAAGAGATGGACTTCAGCAGAATGTCGGATAAAGATAGGAAACAGATCGTTGCCGAGGTCAACATTCTGAGAAACCTCAAGCACGAAAGCATCGTCGCTTACGAAGAGCGATTCGTAGACTCTGAGGCGCAGTGAGTGTATGCCTAGGCTTCCGCGCAGGCAGACCAGCGTCTCATCGAGCCTCAATCCCCTGCATATATGCGTAGGACATTGTACATCATCATGGAGTATTGCGGTGGAGGAGATTTGGGAGAAGTGATCAAGAAATGTAGGAGGACCAAGTGAGTGTTCTCGACTGGTTGCCTCCCTGTGTGCAGTTCGACTGAAGCGCATAGATGCCCTCTAACCGCCCCCTGTCGCAGCACGTATCTGCCAGAAGACACAGTCTGGTCTTACTTCTCACAGATGACTCAAGCGCTCGAAGCTCTTCACTACAAGGATTGCAGCGCCAACGATGTTATTCCGCGCGCCGCTATCCTTCATCGAGATCTGAAGCCCGAGAACATCTTTCTGGACGCAGACGACAATGTCAAACTCGGAGACTTTGGACTTTCGAAGCAAATTACCGGGCAAATTTTCGCTTCGACCTACGTCGGCACTCCGTACTACATGAGCCCCGAAATTGCAAGCGGTCAACGGTACGACTTTAAATGCGATGTCTGGGCTCTGGGTTGTATCGCATTTGAGCTATGCGCCCTCCAGTGAGTTCTCCTGCTGTCGTGGGCCGAAAGACAGCACCAGCTGACACGAGTGTGGCGCCCTCTGCTTCTTAGACCACCTTTCGACGCTCAAAATCAAGCCGAGCTCACACGAAAGATCAAGCAAGGACAGGTGCCGAAGCTGCCAAGAGGGTACTCCAATGACCTCGGAGACCTTATCCGCGCCATGCTGAATCTGAGCGTGAGTCCTAAAGCTTCGAGACGGAGCGGCATCTTCTCACACAACTCGTCTGCTTCTTTGAGCAGGCCAAGGATCGACCGACGACGAGGCAGATTCTCACGCATCCGAAAGTCAAATTCGTCGTGGAAACGCGACAGCTGAGCACCCTGTCGCGTAACCTACAAGCGGAACGTGCTCGCATAGAAGCAGTAGAACTCGGATTGGAGGAACGTGAAGCTGCTCTTGCTCGCGCTGAGCAGGAATTGAGGGAAAGGCAGCAGCAGGGTGGACAAGCTGACGATGCTGAAGCTCACCTCAGCGCAAGAGAGCAGACTGTGAAAGAAAGGGAGGATGCTTGTCGCCAAAGCGAAGACCACACCGAGAAAGTGAGAGAGGAGTACACGCAGTGGTTCAACGACCAATGCCTAAAGCTTGAGCAAAGCAAGCAGGAATTTGCAGAACACTGTCAGGCCCAGCTGGAAGACATCGAGAGGAAGAGGCAGAGCATCGAGGCGAGAAACACGGCTCGTCGAGGGTCGACAACAGTAGACGCTTCGGCACAGAGCGAGCAACCACTACCCTTGCCGAGCTCAGCAGCCAACCGCACCGCTGAGCACCGCTCGGCGCTATCAAGCAGACCTTCTACGCGACGCATCTCCGCTGGCGGCCGTACCTCGGGAGGAGGAGCTGGCGCCTCTCACCTGGATGATCATAGCGTCGACATGATCAGGGCTGGCATAACAGGTCTGGGTACGCCGCGAGCTCAGCGCGAAAGGCAAATGCGACTCAAGCAACGGGCGGAACGTCGTGGAAGCGCGGCCGGTGCTCAATCCGATCTGCGCACTTCCTCCCGCCGAGCGCAGGAGAGCGAGGGCAGCGACGAATGGGTGGAAGAGGACGCTGCGGCTGCTGTTGCCAATCTTGCTCTGTCCAACGGTCGTGGGCGCGCTTCTCAAACCATAGCAGGTCCTACGTCTGATATCCCTCAGAGCGCAGCTCCAGCAGGAAGAGAAGCGTACACTTCGAGAGGAGCGGGACGTACCAGCATCAGCGCTATCAGAGCTGCACCTCCGTCTGCCGCGAGGATGTACACACCTCGACCATCAGCCGACACGTCGGACGTGTCCATGCGCGACGCAAGCTGGTTTCATCCTGCCTTTACGCCTGTTCGCCAGACACGCGCATCCCTCTTTGGCCAAGGATCGGCACAGAACGCGAATGCGGAATTTCCAAGCAGCGAAGACCGCTCGGGCGACGATATGCACACGAGCAGCGACGGGCCTGATAAGGAGAACAGCGTGCTTAGCAGAGCTCGGCATTCCTACTCTTCCGGCAAGCGTGGCGATGCTATCGTGCCCGCTGCTGCGCGTCCGATACTGACCACGAGAACAACAATTGCAGCGATGCAGAACAACAGTGAAGGTCGAGAAGGGGCAATTTCTACGCAAGAAGCAGCGCCAGCCTCGCAAAGCACGAGCGCTGTGCCCAACTATAATCTCGCAGATGACGATCCAGACCTACCTTCCCCGTTTTTGCGCAAGGTTACGCGCATATCGGAGGGTCGCATGTCGGGAAGGAGCGGACATGGAGGGGCAAGCGGCAAGACGAATTTGGTTCGCGCAGCTACCAATGGTGCAGCAAAGCTTGCTAGGGAGAGAGATGCCGCTAATGCTGCTTCCGGTCCTAGCAACTCGGACGGGGCAGCTTCGGGCATGACGAGAAGTCGAAGCACTCTGCTAGACACTTCTGCAGCCAAGGCTTCGCCTGGTCGACGCTATTCTGGAGCTGCTGCTATCCCGGGCGCAGCCAATGCTAGTGGAAGCGAGAGCAGCGGCATCGGTGCGGCCCTTTCTGCCGCACCATCTGGACGCATCGCGGCTCGCACCCAAAGATCTAGATTTAGCACTTTGCCAGGAGGTATCGGAGTCACTGTCAAGCCATTGCAGCCTGGACAAGCCGTAGGCGCGGGCGCTCCGATCAGAAGGAGCTTCGTACCCGGCGCGGGCTCCGGCTCTGGCTCTGCTGCTCGGAGCTGATTGGTGTCTCGCAAGCCCAAGAGCGCGAACGACGTTGCTCAGGACAAGCTTGGTGGTTGATGCTGAATCAGACCTACGCACATCTTTGTCTTCATCATTCCGCATTCCCCCCTCTTTCTCTTAGCACCTGATGCGTCCTTTGCAAACCCTGGCAACAACGGCCCTTGGGTCTGCTATTCTCGTCCTCCTGTCAGACTATCACGCACCCAGCCATTTCCATCTCAAGCAAGTGAACACTTGATAGCTTTCAAACGCAGCGAATTTTCGATGTTATGCTACAGTGTGCGCGTGTGGGAATGGCGGAGGCGGTGCGTTGTACGTGACAAGCAGAGACATTTTCATGCCGCGATGTTTGCAGTATTCTCTAGCGCTCGAGTCAAGTGTTCGACCGGGTCCTGCCGAAGAGCTGCAGGTTCTTTAAAGCGTTCGATCGCAATTAGATTGCTAGCGCTTGGAACTTCCGAAGTTGGTCTTGCTGGACGAGTCCAGCGAGGAATGACGTTTCCTATTCCAGCATCTTCTTGCCGAGTCGTATTGTTGCTCAAGGCGGAAGAAGTCGCTTCGCGGCCCTGTCTGCCTGATCGAACACCAAGACTAGGCTGTCCCCTGTTCAATCCTTCCAGAAGCACTGTCATTGAGGAGCGGAAGACTGCCATGTCAGCAAGTTCAGCATCAGCTTCGGCATCGCCGATGTACACCACTCACGGCATGCTTTGCACAAGTCGTTGGATGACATGTAGCCACATCTGACGCAAGTTTCTGCAGCGCGCGCCAAAAGGAGCAGGCCGATGAGCGAAGTTGAGTGCACCCGCAGCTTTGCGCATCAAAAGACTCACTTTGAGCTTTCCTGATCACGCCACCATCCACCTTGAGATGCTCGCCAGAGTGTATAATGTCTAGCACCACACCTGGCCGGATCAGTTCCAGCTCTCGCAGGTATGCTCGGGCGGTGCCTCTGTATGCGTTAGGAGAGTAGGTGCACTCTGTGCTAAAGTAGTCCAGCTTCTTGAAGTAGGCGTACCTACATTCCAAGCGGAGATTGGTGTCGCGTGATTTTGTCAGCGAGGCAAAACAGACAACGATAAGAGAACCACCTCGCCACCTGCGCGAGTGGGGGTGGTCGCTTGTAGCAGAGCGCGTGCATCTCTTGCACTCACATGACAATCTCCTTTTCGTACGCATACTTGAAAGGTTTGCTGCGCTTGATGCCCGAGCCTCCAAAGACCTCGTCGACTTCCTCATCGCCACCACCGCTGCCGCATCCTCCCGCAGCAGAAGTCGAGGCGTCTGAAGGGCCGGAAGTAGTGATCTCCGTGCACCTTTCCAATCTAGCAATGTCGCCTCGCAACACTGCAAGAGGGCAAGGCAAATCTGTGAGCCGTCAGCTTAAGATGGCTCTGCGTCGGTAGTCTGGCTGGGTACGAGTGTTCACCATTCATGAGGATAGTCTCTGCCAGATCGTCGGCATTGTGACCCGTGACGATGTGCTCCACACGCATTGCTAGCGCACCTCGATCCAAAGCTTGTCTTCGAAAGACGCCACAGAATGTGCCTGTGCGATGGGATAGAGTGGCGATGCAGTCACGGGTGAGACGACGAAAAGTGTGTTGCATTGTTAACGCGATTGCTACTCACAATTGTTCTTGTTGCCGATGCTCTTGACAATGTCGTCCATGGTCCAGCCGTACAGGTCCTTGTAGCTGAGTATTTCGAGTGGCAAACCATACTGCACCTTGTTCCTCTTTACAGTATCCAAAGAGTCGTCCCTATACCCGGCAATTCCTTCGTCGATGCTCAACAGCAGCAACTCGAGGCCATAGTCGTATCTTTCATTGAGGGTCTTGAGCACGCTCGCCAACACCGTCGAGTCTTTTCCGCCAGAAGCTCCTATGGCAACCTTTTCCCCACGTTGAAACATGCCGGATTTGGTGATGGTCAGATGAATCTCTTCCTCGAACAGATGAAAGAAGCAAGATCGACAGACGTATGCTCCGGTTTTGGGTCGACGTAGGGCCGCTCGTGCATCGTTGCACCATTCGCATGTCCTCATCTTCGCTCCACGTCCGTCCGCCCCTTATTCAGACTAGATGCTGGGCGAGAGGGCGAGGTGCTCTGCCTTGGTGGACGTTGGGTTGGGAACCGCGCCGCGCCCTAGCCGGGTGAAAATAATCGACGGTCTGAGATGAAGTGGGAAGGAGGGAGGCATGGGGCGCGAGAGCCAATCACGAATGCAATTGGACCTCGTGCATCGCGGGACAAGGTTTGGTGAGGTTAGACAGAAAGGCGATGTGGACGCTTAGCCCACCCATTCATGCTTCGTGATTGTTCTCATTCGCTGGCTGCTGTCAGGATGATTGATGCATGGGAGCACCGAAAGTTTATGAGCGGGTGGAACACGAAGGGCGGACGAGCACGTGATCTGGCGCGGTGGGCACCTGCTGGAACGCGGCTTTTGCAGTTTGAGTCGGCAGTCAATTGAGTCAGAGAGTTGAGTCAAAAGTCAGTCGTGAGTCACGAGTCACGAGTCACGAGTCAGTCGTGAGTTTGAGTTACACAACAGTCGCGTGAGTACTCAAGACTCGTAATCGCAGCCCCGCGTCACAAGAGACTCACTCGACTCAAGACTGCCAACGCTCATCATACTGATGGGTGCCTCTCTGATGACTCATGACCGACCCAGCATCTTCCTCATTGTGCCCAGGCATCACGAACGACTGACCCACGAGACTCTGACTGACCAATCAAAAATACCGCGTTCGTTTGTAATTCACAGGTCACAGGTCAATTAGAAATGAAAGTCAGGCCATTCAAATTCGGTAGAGCGGAGCAGATCTCGCCTTCGCGAATCATTGGCTTAATTGCTATACCATTCACGATTCGAAATTTCACGATTCGTGATTCTTCGACTCGCATGCTTATACCCAGGGTGGGACTTGACTTGCTTCACATTTCAGCTGCTGGCTGCTGCTGCTGCCCTTGTGATCCGGATCCGCGCACAGTATCATACCTTACCTGCAATTGTATAAGCTGGATGGACGACGATGACCTCTGACTGCATGGATGGATGTTGAGATGAGACACGCATGCGTCTGTCCGTCGGGCGCCACGCCGGCACCCCATTGCCACACACGCCCAGCAACAAAATCACGAATCAAGTCGCGAGTCACGAGCGCGGACCTTTTCTATCGCGTATTATGCCGGTCCATACATGTACCGTATATACAGTAGTACCTGCTTGGCTGCTGCTGCTGCTGCTGCTGCTGCTGCTGCGTACTGCTTGGCTGCATGCGTGATTATTCATTTCCCGCACCGGTGCTGTACCAGTACCTGGATGCCTCTCTATAGCCGTTGTATTTGGGCGGTAAAGTCGTGTGTGTGCATATGCGCGCGCGCGCGTGCTGCAGCACATTTGTCTCCTGCTGCTGCCGCGTGTTTCACGGGACACGGCGGGCGTCGGTCTACGTGGTCGGTCGGGTGATGTGTAGATCGAGTGAGTGTTCATGAAGGAGCAGGAGCGTCGTCGTGCCTATTCAACATCATCTCATCCTACCATCCACATCAATCACCACTCACGCTCCTCTTCAATTCATACACGATCCCCACACTCCACAGGCACTCCCATCTGCACACCTCTCCAGCGCTTGCCTGGCCAAACCAGTTTGCAGCGGGGGAATCTCGACGGCAAGCAGTCGTTCCACATCGCCGCTCTCATCTCCAAGCGTAGAGATCGACGCATGTTGGTTCCTCGGCAACATATTCTGTAAATTCTTTCTTTCGCCTACCGCGCGCGTAGAACAAGCTCGGTTTCAAGAGCACTGCAGTCGCTTACGCCTGTCACGCTGTGCCAGACTCTGTAAGGTCACCAGCTCCGCCGAACGAGCCAAAAGCGCGCGCATATACACATACACGGACACATACATGGCTTCTTCATCTGCATCAGCTTCGGCTGGAGCAACGGGTGCGGCGCTGCATAGACCAAAGAGGAAGATTGCAGTGCTGGGTAGTAGGAGCGTGGGTGAGTGTGTCTGGAAAGATTGTCATCGTAGGGTCGGGGCGAAACGCGTGGGCGTCCGCCAGAGGGGAGAAAGCGGGATGGTCTTTGGAGGATCGAGCGAGGGCAAGAGCCAGCAAACGGAAGAGGAAGACTTTGGAGAAAGAGGTGCATGCGCATTGCCATTCTGTGTGCGCTCCACATTCGACTGTGCGATGGAAGCCGAGGCTTCGATGGTCCATGTCTTTGTCGATCAAGGTCCCGCAGCCTGCTGTGTAGGAAGAGTAGGCGCCTGTCAGCGCCTCAGGTGGTCAAGCATGTGGGTATGCTTGAATACGCACAGTATTGCTGACTGCTCACCTCCATCCGCAGGCAAATCCTCGCTGGTGGTGCGTTACGTCGAAGATGCCTTTGTAGACTCTTACTATCCCACCATCGAAAACGTGTTTAACAAGCGGGTCAAGCATCGCAATCAAGAATACGACTTGGACATTATAGACACAGCAGGTCAAGACGAGTATAGCATCTTAAACTCCAAGCACGCTATTGGTATACATGGCTACGTCTTGGTCTTCTCCATCGCCAATAGGAACAGCTTCGATATGGTGCAGACTGTGTACGACAAGATTCTCAATTATACAGGGACGGAACACGTGCCTTGCGTCATTGTTGGGCAGAAGTGCGACTTGCACGTTCAAAGGTGAGCTCCTGGGGCCGGAATAAGTCGAAGTGTGGGGACAGGACAAATTGCCCGAGCTTCGAGTAACGTGAGCTCATTCGTCTCATTGTGACTTCGTCATCCTGCAGGCAAGTGACGGAGCAAGAGACGGCGGAATTAGCAAGTCAGCTGCATTGCGCGTGGATAGAAACTAGTGCGAGGCACAACATCAACATCTGTGAGTACGCCTTTTCGGCACTTGTCTGGGCGATGGTCACCAGGTGGTTTACGCAGCGCGACGAAGAATGGCAATGGCGGCAAATCTCACTCAAAAAGTCTTCGTTTTTGCTTTGCGTGCCCCCTCCTACAGCCAAAGTGTTCGAACTGATGCTCGGTGAGACGGATGGAAATACGGAAGCGGGCAAGACGGGGCCGGAGCCTAGCAAGTGCTGCGTCATGTAAAGAGGTTGCTTTTCGCGTCTTTGGGTTCAAGTGCGCAACACGTCCTACAATGAGCGTTGCGCAAGCCTCGCCTCTTTCGAGCTGCGAGTCAGGCCCAAACCAAGTTCACAAAATTATAGATTTTGGAGCCACGTCACCTATTCGCTCAGGATCTCCTCCCCTCCTCCTACACGCCCTGCATTCTTTGGATTGCGGGCGCGCGACCACTTTCGACGGTCCAATCTCCCTCTGCCCTTTTTCTTCCTCTCAAGAATCCCCTACGAATATGACTCGACTCCACCCGACCCTACCCTACCCACCTACTCTTGGAGTCTCCGGGTTTTTTTTTGCTCTGGCACTACATACGCCGCGCACCGCCAACCTCCATCTCTCAAGCTCATCTGTCCCGCCATCTCGTTAATGTCAAGTCGGATCTACATCTCAGTGCCTTTTGTCTTGTGCGCAGGAATGTGCAGTGCGTGCACAAGTCAAGCGTTTGGGACATAGCGTGACTACTTGATGCGGATTGGATAAATGTAAGAGGGGACCAACGAGGGTGGCATGTTGTGTACATAAATCGTGAATGGCAGCCGGCGGCGGCGGTGCGGCGGGGGAAGAGCGGAGCAGAATGCGTGCATGATGGCAATGGCAACCAGGTCAAGTGCTCGTCCAGTCGATTTCTTTCACCCCTCGCCTCCTAGCAGCACCTCTCGAAGAAGCAGAAAGACCCCGTGTAGAAGCCGAGCTGATCGGATCTTCGCGTGTGCTGCTTGGTGTCGCAAGCATCTCTGCAGATCCAAATGCGGCCGGATCGACAGTGCCAGGTGGACCTCTTCCCCAACTGTGCAACCTTTCGAGTTCGTGCGGGTCCGCACCATCTGCGCCAGATCCGCCTGCAGTGCTAGCTCCGTTCGAGGCTGGCAGATCAGGTACGGGAGCGGATCTGCCCAAGGTCTGCCGTGCCAACTCTGCGGAAGGTCTTTCGGGTGGAGAAGCGGCCAAATGAGGCTGCGCGTGAGGATGCCTACCTCTAATGCTTCCCGTTGCTCCTGCTTGTGAAGTGGGCGTTGCGTTCGTATGACCGCCTTCGAACGATGCTGCCACTTCTTGATACCCCCTCTCTAGAGCTTCTTCCAGCTTGATACGCCCTCGCAGCGTGTCGCTGAAGAGCTGGCCCCAGCCCGCACTCGATGTGCTTGACCCACCTTGCGTAGCGCGAGCAGGCTGACCACCCTGAACACCTCGCGGCGGCAGTCTTCCCTTCCTTGCAGCAGAAGAGCTTCCCTGATTCGTTCCGCCTGCAGATCCAGACCCGGGCATTGGCACGCTGTCACTTATAGGTCTAGCCCAGTTGCTTGCAGGACCAGGATTAGGAGGCAATCCAGCGGCCAAATCGTCCAGCACCGAGTTGCCGGGAATCAGAGGAGCATAAACCCTTTTGTTCTTGCCACCTTTGCCCGCGTACGCATGCGCTACTTTTCCCGAGGTGTGCGCCTTCAAGGATGGCTCTGGCGCGTCGTTCCACCCGTTGTATCCGGCGTTGCTCGTTCGCAAGGCAGCGGAAGAAGTGTTTTCAGAGGATGGAGCGGAGAGCCCTGATGTCTGGCTCGGAGGTTTGGAGGCACGCCCTTCTACTTCGTTTGCTCCCGCGCGCGAAGCTCCAAACGTCCACTTGTTGGGTTTCCACTCATTCGCGCCGCTCATTCGCAGTGACGAGGTCACACTGCTGCCGCTCTCGGCATGAAGCGCTCCATGAGATCGACTAGTGAGGTACACACTAGGATTCTCATCGACTGGTTGAGCTTGAGATCCTGCAGTGCTGTTGAAGCTGTCTTCTCGACCATTGTGACCGAGCATCCTAGCCTTCTCTGCTAACCTCAACAGGTCGTCCACGCCGCTTTCGCCTGGCGCAATGTCTTCAGGCTCCTCAAACGTGAAGTCTGCGCCGGCTTCGTCTGAGCCTTCCAGCGGGCCTCGTGCTGTGCCTTTGCTGCCAGAAGGAGCTGGAGGGGGAAAATGACTAAGAGCTTGGACGGGTACACGCTTGACCTTCGGTGGTGCGCCTGGGACGATGCTACTGCTCGTGGCCGAGCTCGTAGCACTAATGGTACTGTCCGTGCGTTGCCTGAGCATAGATTCGCTAGCTCGAGGCATCAAACGCCTCTGCGTGGGTCTGTTGGGATGGTCGACATCTGCCTCTTCGGTAGCTGGTAGTGGTATGCGGAATGCTGCAGGGCTAGCCTGCAGGGAGTCACTACCGCCCGCCTCTGACACTTCGACCTCTTCGGGCGCTGAGACAAGCCCAAAACTGGTCATCGGGCCAATGCTCCCGTTCGAGATTGCGGCATCTTTGCTTTCTAGACCTTCCACACCTCGAGTGCATTTATCCAGGGGAATGTAAACAAGCCGCCTCGCCTGCACACTATCGCCTGGCCAAAGTCCATTGGCCTGTCTGAGCGTTCGCGCATCCGTGCCGTACCTGAGCGCCAGACCTTCCAGTGTGTCCGCAGGTTGGACAAGGTGCTGTATCACGAGTCTGGAAGTCGCTGAGCTAGCTGCTGATCTGCTCTTTGGCGCTGGCAAAGTGGAGATTGGAGTCGAGGAGGATGCGACTGTTGCCGTCGCACTAGTAGCATTCGCATGTCGGTTTGCCTTGCCCGAGACGCCAATGCCGTGCAAGCTGCCCAGCGTAGCTTCCGGCTGGATGCCAAACCAGCCTTCTATTCTTTGCAGAGCGGTTCCTTGGAAGGGCAACGTATGACCTTTATTTTGGCTCTCGTCATCCTCTAGCCTGCTCGAGCTGCTTCGCTGCTCTTCCTGCGCATCTTGTGCAGGTCGCCGTCTCCTCGAGATATTTGGACTGGGCGATCGAGAAGCGCTGAGGTGAGGTGATGGAAAGAGAGGGTGCAGCGTTGAGGTATTTGAAGGACCTGCATCGCTACTGTCTGCTTGATCCGAGACAGATCGGGTATGTGAAGTGTCGCTCTCGTGATTCGTTGTCTGAGGACTAGCGGCACTGGCTACCCGTCGCTGCATGCTGGACTGCTCAAATGAGAGTGCCCTTCCGAGCGATGCTACTGGTCTGCAGATCGCCGCACCAGAGCATGTAGCGACGGTTTGAGGCTGTTTGCGTGTGTTTATGGCCGATAGTAGCTTCGCCGCATGAGCATGAGCGCATCAGATGGATAGATGAAATGTCTGTCTTTGTATCGCGGATTGAACCTGGGGCGCTTCGGTCGGCTGATGGAGGCCTCTCTTCGAGGTGAGAGTGACGCAAGTCGAGCTTGAGAGAGCTAGGGGCGCAGAATAGCTCTCGTGAGCGTCAGATTGGGAGCAGTGCAGCAGGCTACAAGAGTCGCAAGTCGTAGCTTGAGGTGGTACAGAAGGATCAGGAATGCAGTCGGCCACTTACACGTCGAGGGCGCTGCGCTGCGCTGCTGTTGCTCCGCTCCCTCACTCGCGCTACTCACACTACCACCACCGCCTATAACGCTGCTCTGAAGCGGGGGCCGCTGCATGGCTGGCTACTCTTGGTGCCGCCGCCGCTGCTGGCTTGCTATACAGTCACGAGTAGTCGCACTCATCACGGCACGGCGCAGGCACGGACGTGCTGCGCCGTGCGCGCGCGTGCCGGCGTTGCGGCGTCGATCGTGAACATGTTGTATGTGCATGCAGCAGCCAATTAAGTCACGAGTGGCACGTCGGTGCGGACGACGATTCGCGAATCGTTGTTGTAACATTTTGATTCAAGATTCACATTCACGATTGTGATTCTCATTCAGATTCAGCGCTCCTCCTTCTTGCCGGCATACGCACCCACAGTCACGAGTACGGTGTTGGTTAACGATTCTATTGCATGCGAGCTTCAATCAACTGATTTTCCGACCACGTCACACTCCACTTTGACTCGTGACTGTAGCTCGACCATCTCGCGCCTCCAGCTCGGTCCTCGTGATCGATGGACTGTTGAGCTTCTAGTCTATATCGTCGGAACAGGGTGGGTCTCTGGCATCCCTGTCAAAGTCACATGAATCAGATGATGGCAGCACATTCGATTCCCGGATGACCTCGGTCGGCATCAATGGTCCCCCGCATCGCATCTCTGCGAAAAAGAAATGTGAGATATACATGCACAGAAATCATGAATGACGACTCACAACTGCAAAAGCAGAAGCAGCAAGCCATAGCGTCACCACGGTCACGGCTAATAAGTTGCGAGTGAGTGTGAGTGCACCTGCATGATGCATCCACATCACTGTGACTCACGACGATCGTACGTGGTGCACAGCCGGGCTTTGCATGTGCGTGGGCGCGATGCTGCATATATGCTACCATCATGTCGTTCATGTTTCAGCCTCTTGACTCATGTGCGAGTAGATGTCTATGAACGCCTTTTGATCGTAACGACGGCGCGAGCCTAGGCGTCACATCCACGCATCGCCAGAGGTCGTTCCATGTTGATCTGTTCTCCATGCAGGTGGACCGACGCGATGTGAGCATATTTCTCACATTGTTGCTCCCGCGAGGTGAGAATAAGCAGAGAGGCCGTCGTGCGACCTAGCTAGCACGACTTGCGGCAACTCAACGCCCGGGCGTAGAGGACGCCCTTGTCAGAATCACCAATGACGGAAAGCAGTTGGATGTTGATGATCAAGTCGAAGTCGCAGCGCTGCGCTGCGCACGGGCTTGTCAGAATCAGTTAATCAAGTCAGCAGTCAAGGTCAATCAATCAATCAATCAATCAATCAATCAATCAATCAATCAATCAATCAAGCCTCTTTGCCTGAATGAGCGTATATGTACGTAGCGCTTTCTCACAACCCGCAGTTCCACTGGATTCCCTCAGATTGCATGACCACATTGCTCTCATTCTTCTGTGACCCTTTCTCACGCACCCCCTTCCGCACACCGCAAACTCGTCCACTCTCGATTTGACAGCTCCCATCTCCCTGCCCCTGTAAGGGCCCATCTATCCAGCCATGCCGACTGTATCAACCAAACGACAATTCTGCTCGCCTCCCAAAATGACCACTACTCCGAAAAGATCAGCGTCTGCAGACAAATCTCTCCGACTGCGATGCACGTCCATCGATCACTTCGACGGCTTCATCGCAGCAGACGTCGCTGCAAAAACCGAAGCAGATCCCGTCATTGTCGACTTTGAAATAGCTAAGCAAGCGTCACCGATGTGCGGCGAGAGCGACGATGAGATGATTCTGAGCGGCAGAGTGACAGAGGATGAGGCTGAGGCTGAGGCTGAGGCTGAGCACTGCACCGAGGAGCAGCAAGAACCGGAGACAGCCGTGTTGGACGATGAGAACGCCGGAGCACCTGAGCCAGCGGGCAATGAGGATGGGACGGCGCAAGAAGCTCAAGATCGGGATGACAACGTCCTTGCCTCTCCGCGTCGATCACAGCGAGCTCGTCAATTAGCGCATCATTTTGCCAACTCTTCATGGGTCCCTTGGCAAGATTTGCGCAACAGTCGAGTGACTCTCCAGCCTGAACGGGCTGCTGAGCCGGTTGCTCACGCACCAAGAGTTCCTTCACCTCGCAAAAGACCTCGCGGTTCGAAGAGAAAGCGTGGAGCACAAGGAGGAGGATCGGACGCTGCCGCTGCGAGCGAAACAGCAACGGATGCGGCCACTGAGAGCCATGCAGGAGCAGCAGCAGGCGACGGAGATCAGCAGGGATATGGTGTGGAAGCGATCCTCGGCCATTCGTACCGCTTCGACGAACTGTGGTTCGCCGTAGATTGGGAAGATTGCGACTTTGGCGAGGGTGAGTTGACCCACGGTCGACCACCGCCCTTTGCAATGCAGAGTCTCGCTGATCGTTTCTGCATTCGGATGTTATGCAGCTCTCTGGCAGCCCGCCGCCAATCTGGTCACGCACTGCGGTGACCTGGTGGACGAGTACAAGGCGATGCTGGCGTTTAAGAGGTGGTACAGGCGCTGGGCGAGTCGTCAAGCTGGGGAAGCAAGACGATGGGCTCGGCGATTCTGGAATGCGCAGCAGGGCACCAACGGCCCCTTGTCGCGTGTGAGTATGCATGGTCTTGTTCGACACGCTTCATGGTGGGCGGCGTTGACGTTCGTAGTCATCGTGATAGGAGCCGCCTCTCGAGTCCGCTGATTGGGAGATTCCCGACTTGATCGCATTCACGAGCGATCTGGCGGACCTTTGATCCCTGCGAGGTGAGCACGCCACGACAGAATTCGAATTGTGCGACACTATGCATTTGCGGGCGCTCATGGTCAACACCGCTGGACGTTCATGTCTGACAGCAACGATCACCACGCGCCTCCTCCGCGCGCTTGCCAGTTCGGAGTCGAATCTTGCAAGAATGAGATGAGAACCTTGGATCCGGTCTAGGATGATGGAAGACGCGAGGACATCGCGATTAGTCTCTACTGGCGCGGACAGCCGCAAAGTTGACAGTCACACTCACTTGCAAAAGCGGATGCCCGGCCACGGTCACTAGAAATCTTTCAAGCCCTTCCCTTCTGGCTTCGATGACTTCGTCACTGAACCTATTTGTAAATACCTTTCCAGGCAGCGTCGGAATGTTGACTCGGGTCGACTCCCTTTCTAGTACATCCCTGAAGTACTCAAAGTCAGAATATCGTCGTCGAACGCTCGAGTAGCGCAGCCTGAATGCCGGAATGTTCGTCTGTTGCATCGACGTTGATTGAGTTGTGGTCAGATCGGAAAGGCTCTCTGCATCGATCGGGTGAGTCAAGATTATCTTGCTGGCACTACTACTCACTCTCGTGACTATCTCATAGTCAGTGTACTGCTTGCGTCCAAAGGCTGTGTACAGAGCTGAAGATCAGCAAGACGAGCGAGATGGATGCATGGCGGGTGTCTGATCCGAATGCTCAGGCAGCAAAGACAGCACCAGCGCTTACACTTACAACAAGTCCGCGGATCCTTCACCTCTACCTCCAAGAAGTTCTCCGGCACCCCATACATCTCCTCCGGGTTGTCCCTTCGACCCGCCAAGCTATCCACTCGGGCAAACGGTGAGTAGGCCGGTGTAGGAGGAATAGCTGCGGGAGAGATCGGAAGAGATGTTTGTGGATGAAAAGCTTGTTGCTGAGGTGGTGCTGCTGACGATAGAGGCGATCGAGTATCGTTGGGCGTCAGTGTGGAAGAGGGAGTGTTGAAGCCTCGAGAAGAAGGGGCGAAGGCAGAGGATGAATTAGGAGGTGCCCGGCCGGACTGGTTGCCTCCCGCTGCACCACTGCCTACAAATGCGCTCGCCGATTGACCCTGACCTTGCGATTGCTGATAAGGTGATTGTTGAAATGGAGATGCTCCGCCGTAGGTACTCGACTCGTATCCGCCTGATGGGCGGCCTCGATAGTCGTATGACCCGTCGCGAGAACCACTACTGGGAGCGGCCGAGGCGGGCGGTAGTCTTCCACCGTAACCTTGCTGCGACGCAAAGGAAGAGTCTCCACTTCCACTGCTGCTTCCAGCAAGTCTCTGTTGCGTGTTGCCATCGAGCGTACCCGCGCCAGCTATGCCGCTTCCCCAGCTCTCGTTACGATTGATGGGAGGAGGTGCGCTCCTTGCGAATGGGTTTGCTCGTGGAGGCGGAGCAGCAGCATATTGAGGAGCGCTCCAACCTCCCCCATCATCCACTGCTGGTACTTCGGAGGGTAGCTCCGCGGTGAAGCCGTCATTGCCATGACTGCTAGACCCGCCGATGCCAAATGTCCCGCCTGTGCCTAGGCCAGTAGACGGGAAACCTGCAGAGGTACCGCCCCCTCCACCAAGACCGGTCGAGGGGAAGCCGGTGGACGAGCTGCCGAAGCCGTTGCTGCTCAAGCTGCTCGGTGGAGCTCCCCATGGATGCTCGTCATCCAGAGCTGGCCCGGCATGAGAGTCGCTGTTCCAGGCCATGAGGAGCGATGGGTGAGTGAAAGCTGAATGGGAAGGTCGGGAAGCTGCCCGTTGTCAGCGATCGGGTTGATCTGCGGTGCGAGTCGTCAAGCAGGGGTGTATGGAGGTCAGGTATGTGAGTCGTGTGGGGAGAGTCAGGATGAACAATCTTTGAATGGAGACTGCATACCTCGAGCAGCTACTCGTGACTCGTGACTGGTGCAAGCGGCCATCATCGGCCGTCGCTAGAGCCGTGACGCCAGAAGATGCAGGCACGCCACAGTCGCAAGTCGCAAGGCGAGTCGACCATGCATGCTGCACCCGCACTCGCCGGCCGCACGGGCTGCCTCAGTGCTGGTGTTCTCGCGCCACGTGCTGCTGGACCATCGACTCGGCTGCACGGCCCCCTGGCTCGACGTGCATCGCATCGATCATCAATCGTGAATCGCGCTCAATGCCTCGAACAAGTCAGGACGCTCCTTACCAACGATGTATAAAGCTCGCACCACCACCACAGCAGCGCTGACCTCTACGATCAGCTTGGTCAAACTCTGCCCGAAACTCCCCTGTACCTCGACCACGATGCGCTGGACTGTCTTCGGCGTAGCAGCCGTGCTGCTTGCGACTATCGCATCAGCTCAATCCGCCCCCCGCACAGCCTCGCTGCACCTCTTCCCCTCCTCCATCTCGGACGACTACTCAATTCCCGAAGTCTCTGCTTCTCAGGTACACAAGCTGCTCAGCTATCACCTGTCCATTCCGGGCGAGAAGTTGGACGGCGCTCATTGGGCTCATCCAGAGGCTTGGCGATGGATCGATGAGAAATCCAGGCCGAGCGCAAAGGATCTGTTTGGTGCTTCTGAGCAGGACCTTCGAAAAGCCATCATTGTATTGAGAGCAGACGATGCTGGTGAGCAGAAAGCTGCGGTCAAAGTATTCCTCGAGTCTAGCGGCCGATGGAGCTCACTTCGATGCCCGCTCTTCATCCACTGCAGATCTGATCCCTAAGCATCTGGCGCAGACCCACAAAATCTCTCAGCCACACGACAAAGAGAATTGGGATGCACTTTTCAATGTGTATGCGGAAAGATTGGGCGGTCTGACGGGAAGCTTGATCCATGCGGCTAGTCGCGCAGCAGAAGAGCTATCTGATTGGGCTACGGGGTCAAACGAGGAGGACCGAGCCGAGCGCACAGTGAGTGCTCTGGAAATCCGCCTGCGTGGGCGGGCGAGTCCTCCGCTTACTTCTTCAGCCCACAATTGTAGTTCCAAGATGTTTTGAGGGAGAGCGCTACATCTTTGGATAATGGCGACGCCTCTTTCGAACTCCTCCGTTTTGACACTGCGCTTGAAGGCATTTCTCAGCAGTCCGGTGACGCCAGCGACGATCTCGATGCAGCGCGCTCTCAAATTAAAGAGCAGATTGAGACGTTGTTCTCTTCTGCTCGATCCACAGACAGCAGACACAGTATCGCGCTTCTTTTGATTCCCGCCAGCGAACAAGAAGAGGGTCTTGCCAAGCGACAGGTGCAGGACCCTTTGGCGCCCTTCGGTATCACGAAGCGAGCGGACCGCTGGACAGATGGTCAGGGTTCTTGGTCAGAAGCTTCCTCATCAGGAAGCGAGGCCTTGTGGAGCCTGAGCGACAGCCTGAAGAATTCCAGCAAGCCGCCCAAAGAGTCTGACTACGTGGGAAAGTGCTTCTCATCTGAGTCTGATCTGAACAAAGCGACAGCAGATTGCTCTGGAAGAGGCAAAGCGGTTCTGTCGACCAAGGGAGCAAGACGTTGTTATGTTTGCCAATGCTCCAAGACGAAGGAGAAGGGAAGCTCGACTTCTTGGGCGGGCGAAGCTTGCCAGAAGGTGGACCTCAGCACCAGCTTCACGCTGCTCGCTACTACCACCGTCGGTCTTCTCGCCACCATCTTTATGAGCATCAGCTTTTTGGTCAAGGAGGGGAACAGAGAGCTTCCTAGCGTACTTACTGGTCTCAGCGGTGCGAAGCATTAGGCGAGACTGTCCATTTCTCACTTTTCGCCATCCGAGGGAGGATTAGTGAATGATGATTGCATACGTATTCTTGGCCGTGATGCTACAGGGTGTTTGGTATGTGGGTGCGATTCGTACAAGCGTGATCGCTAATACCGCCACCAAGCCACCCACTTCTCATCATCTGCTTCCAAGCCCCACGACGATTCCTCGTCAGGCCGAGCAAGGTGAATATGCCAAATTCCTCCTTCCTCTACCTGCCCATGGGTAATGATGGGTATCTGGAGCGGTCTTCCATTGATAGTGAAATGCAGGATTCTTCTGGGGTCGGCAGGTGCAGAGGAATCCCCGTGTGCGCCTCCAGGCTCGTCGGTGGAGCCATGCACGATGATCACTAGCTTGTGATCTTTGATGTGAGGCAGCTTAATGGTCACTTTTGAGAAGAATGGCGCACTTCAGGGTGATTGCAGCAGCGAATGGAGAAGAGAAAGAGGGGGGGTGGGGGAGAACGTGAGCAAGGGCCGACTTGACCGGCAAAGCTTTGCTGCATGTCACCACTCACCCCACGACGACATACTTCGCACTGGCAGGGTGTAGAGGATAGAATCCGAAGGCGCTGATAAAAGTGTACCAGCTGCTCATCTGTCCCAAGTCCTCGTTGCCCTTGTACCCATCCGGCAAATCCGTGTATTCCGCGTGCGCAATATCTCGTATTATTTTTGCGCTCTTGTCAGGTCTACCAAGTGCTGCATACAGCACGGGCACATGGTGAGAAGGCTCGTTGGAATGGTCATTGTACCCGCCCTCAAAGTAGTCGTCCAGCTTCTGAAGAGTTGCCATTCTGGATCCGTGCAGTCTTACTAGACCGGGCAGGTCATGAACGACGTCGAACAAGTATGTCCACCTGTTTCCCTCGGTAAAGCCATCGTCTCTGGCCTTAGGATCTTGCAGAGGAGCTTCGAAAAAGCTTCCATTTGCAAATCGAGGAGCAAAGAAGCCGGTGGCGTTGTTGTACACGTTTAAGTAATTTTGCTCCGCTCTGGCGCGATAGATTGCCGCAGAAGACTGATCACTCATGTGCGAAGCGACGATTGCGACTGCTGCATCGCAAGCTGCATAGTCTAACGTGCGACTGACAGACTCTGCAGTCCGATCATGTGCTACCCAGCCTCGGCTCGCGTACGACGTTAGGCCAGCTCGCGCCTCGATAGGCGTGAACTCCTCCCTGTCCTCGTACTGGACGAAAAGGTGAGGAATCAGTCTGCATCAGTGGGCAGTGGCATTCACCTCACTGGGCGCACGACTTACTTTGAGATCCTCATCAAGTTCGGGCGGCACGCTAGCATCTTTCAACACAGCCTGCGCGCTTAGACAGGGGTTACTGGCGCAAGAAATCCCGCATGACTAAAGTCGGGCCCGACCAACTCACCTCCAACGCCAATTCGCGATTGAAGCCGGTGACGTTCTTTGCAAACGCCTCGGCGATCAGCGAATCAGCCCAAGTCGAGATCATGATGCTTCCTCGCGTTCAAACGACCGAGCATCAGTATACCGACCGTGATGTGCCTCTTCGGAAGGATGCTGTCCGCACTCACTTTGTTTCCGCTCCATTGGCCCACATTGGCAGGTATCCAGGTTTACCGTTCTTACCTGATTGGAGATACATGTCGAGCATGCTAGAGACCATCGAACCGACTCGATGGTTAGCGAATAAAATCTGCATTGCCCAAGCTGCACGCCAAGTGTCCCAGATCGAATACGATTGATACGCTTCGCCTTTGTTCACGCTGTCGGTGTAGAGCGAGTAGTAAGCCGATCCTTCGTCCGCTGACTCGCTATGCAAAGATGGGAACTGCAACGTGCGGTGTAATCCTGTGTCTGAGGTTGTGGATGAAGATTCAGGTGCTGCATCACTATTCCACAAAAGCAGTACCACACTCTCACACAAGACACGTTTCTGGACCGAATTGCCGCCTTCAGTTTCGACGACTGACAATGCGGCGTCCCATTCGCGGGTGTTCTGAAGTGCAACTTCATCCACATCTTGTGCGGAGCTAAGCTCACTCTCCAGGTTTCGGCGTGCTTGATCGATGGCTGGATAAGGCTGACCACAGCTCAGAGACGCGGCCGCTTGAAGGCAAAGTATTATCAGACTCTCACAAAGTAAAGACAAGCCAGTCTTGATCAATACACGAGTGGTATTTGGCGTAAATTTGACCCACTGAGTCACCGCGCAGCGCCATGATTGGGAGAATATGTCAGGATCAGCTGGGCAAGGAACGCACGGGCAGAAGGTACACGCACGCAAGACTCACACCAGCCAGCGCATCTTCGTTCCATCGGCCTCTCTGCTTCGACCACGTCTGGGTCAAATTGTGCTGCGTTCTCGCAGTGCCCCAGTCGAGCCAACCAGCCTCGCTCTCGATGCGAGAGACAAAGTAACCTCGGAAATTCGGAGCTTGATGTGGGCCCAGCTGATCCGTTGTACGTGAAACAAGGCATCAGTCCGCACTCCAACAATAGGCGAACGACGCGCCCCTCCTTCCCTCATAGCATCCCATCTCACCTTGTAGTCCTGCAGCAGACAAGGGGGGGAGGAAGCGAAGGCGAGCCGACACTGTCAGCTCGGACTTTGTAACTTGAACTGCCCTTCAAGCTCACCATTCTCTCTGGAGTCCATCCAGATATCTCCTGCCTGTCGGCATCGACGAACACAGCGCCTCTCCAACCTTCTCTGGCTGCGTGTATCGCCACGTAAGGGCCATCGACCAATATTCCATGCTGGCTCTCGCTCTGCCGCACATCATATTCTATGATGCTAGAGTGTGATCTGCCAGCGGTTTGAACATAGAAACCTGCTCCCCGTTGTTGGCGCGAAGCATCCACTCTGAGCGCGTGCTTGCCCAAAGAGGCAAACTCCTCTTCGTGCGAGAAAGGCAGCGCACGAGATTGCTCGTCAAGCTGTAATTGACCAAATCCAGCGCTGATCTCCACGGGTGCCAGGTCTCCCATCCAAATGGCAGGTTGACGAGTCATCAAGGTGCCTCGATACGTCTTGTCGTGATAGTAGTAACCCTCTGAGCTAACGTAGTTTGTGCGAGTGGATGGAGTGACGCGAACTGCTGCGAAAGGCGGACTGGGATTGGGTGATAGACCAGCATAGCTATCCGGCTCGTAAGTGCTCGCATCCGGTCCCGCGGTGCCTATCAGCGGATCGACAAAGGTGGAATGTCCTGCCTGCGAACGCCATCCTGAGCTTTCGCAAGATGCGATGTTGACGGCTTTGGCGCAGGTTTGCCTGCTCGTGATTGTGTGCGGGTGCGGGTGCGGCTGCGCAGTCTGCAGCGCTTCCAGCCGGTTCATGCCATCCTCGCTTGGCCATGGGGAAGCGGGAAAGAGTAAGTGCTGTTGCGGGATCTGTGTGCATGCTGCGCCAGCTAGGAGGGCAAGCCAACAAGCCCAGCGCAGCCAAGCAGTCAGAGTCTGACTTGGGGCCAGCATTGTGACCGCATTGAACATCGCAGACCTTCGAAGACGCACCGCACCTCCCACAGCGTCCAAATCGCAGCGATAGGCCTGCCTTCTTTGCCTCTGCCTTGTGAGCTATGAGCTTGGAGTTGCGAGCGTGTTTGATGATGCTATCATCTGATGACGACTTAGAGCTGGCAGCGAAAGCAATCACGAATAATACGTTTACCGTACCAGAGCTGCTGCTCTAATCGTCACAGCAGTCACAAGTCACAGTAGAGCCATGAATTGAATCTTGAATATCGGGCCCCCCGCATGTGGAGGGATGGGATGGGATCCTTCGGTCCACAATTGAATTCACTTGACGCTGATGCGCGATGCATGCTGCTGCTGCTGATTATGGCATTCAAATTCATTTCAAAATTATTCACGATTGTCGCATGTGATTCAAATTGCAAGTCGGACGTGCTGCATGCTTGGCACTACAGAGTGGGAGTCATGAGACCAACAGTCGTGAGTCACGAGTACTTCTGTAGCTAGCAGCCTGATCACAACATCCTTCCCAAGGTGCAACAATCGCATCGCGTTCAACTCTTCATTTCGACATCTTCGCGGCCTTCAACACGCGCATGGTCCTGCTTACCACAGCATGGCATGTGTAAGGCAAGGGTTGCGCTGAAGCTCACAGCGTTCAAGGCCATTCGAGCTTAGGACCATCGATCCAGTCTACGTCATTATCGAAGAATGCCTCCTCGGAATGATACTTGGAGAAGTCGATGGTGTCGGAGCTGTCCAGCTTCTTGTCGACTTTAGCAGCGACATAACCTTGGCCACTCAGCGATTTGGATCCAAATACTCCTCGCTGCTTGTCGACGAAACTGCCCCTGTAGCCTTGAGCGGACCAGAGAGCTGGGTTGACAATGTCGAACTGCGCAAGGCAGTGGTCAACTCCTGCGCTTTGGGACCGCATTTGTATGCGCAAATGGCGAGCAAGTAGAGCATACTCACCAACTTGGTAGAGATCCAGATGGACGTGGTGTCGGAAATCCATGGGCGAGCAAGGTAGACGCTACCAGCAACCAAGTCCTTGCGTGCAAAAGGATCGGCGGCAGGTCCAACGGTCGAGCCTTTGATGACAACAGCGCCATTCGAAACGCTGCTGTCCCAAGTGACTATGTTGCCCTTTCCTCGAGGTGCGATCTGGGAGTCGGAGATGAAAAGACGACCCGTGCCTGTCGTACGACGCAGCGCAAGTCGCGAAGATGTCGATGCGATGTTTAAACTTGCAAAGCAGTGAACGGCAGGACTCCTTTCGTCAGCATGACTCACCCCAAATCCAATCGTACCAGCCTTGCACCTCGGATCGGAACACGTTGGCCCTGCCATGCACAGCGAGGGTGCTTCTCCAGCTGTATAGCTGCGTGTCCATGATGCTGGCACTGCTTCCGGTCGCTACCCAGAGAGCAGGCGAGCTGCCGTATGAGAAATCAGGAGGGTCTCTACCGCGCTGGTAGTTGTCGTCGCACTCATTTTCTAGCGTGTGACATGCGAAAGAGAGCGCGAGAGCAAAATCAGCTCGACTGACGAGGAGATAGAATAGTCTCGCGCATAATACTCACGAATCTGGACGTCCTTGACCAACACGTTGGTATTCTCGCCTTCAATCACAAGCGTCGACGTACCATCGCTTTCGACGTTCCCGCAAGCGAAGGTTGCGAGGACAGGCACTGCACCTACCTCGAGCTCTCCGGCGAGGACGAGAGAACGTTTCGCACGGAAACGGCCTATCGGGACAAGTGGGACAAGAAATACAATGGGCTTAACGAGCTGATTTATGCTTGTGCGTCAAGGATGAAGCTCACCTCGATACTTGACGCCGCTCTTGAGGATAACGACGGTCGAATCTCCTGCCAATGCGCTGGCGAGCTCGTCCGCACTCTGGACGTAGATCGTGTTCTTTGGGCATCCTTCGAGCCCTTGAGCCGCGCTGCGCTGGCATCTGCCGAGCAGGACTGGCCGAGGCGCTGGAGCCAAGGCATCAGTCGGTAAAGCAGTCAGGAAGCAGATTGCGGCAGCGAGAGCTGACAGAGCAGCGAGGGGACTGAAA